CTCTTCTACAGAGTCCGCCATGTTGAAACACTTGGTACTTTGTACATTATTATATAATGATTAGAAAGAAAGGTGACAAAATAGCAACATGAGAACTGTTTATTTCATAATAATTCAAAATATCTCAAATTCCATTACTCAATACAAAAACACAGTCTTAAAATAATCTATATTGCAATTGTTTAATGCAGCTGGTTTTACTTGGATTTTCTTTATCTGCAATTGTTTTTATGTTTTCTGTTTTGGAATGAAAATCTCATATTTTCTCAAACATAAAAGCCAAGTGAAAATAATGATAGCATTTATACTCTGACTACAAGTGACTTTATGAACTTTGCTCTGTGCTACATCACACCAGCTCCCTGGAGAGTGAATTATCCACCAGACCGGGAAGACAACTGGAGGGTCCTGCTGTCCATGCACACAGTGTGTACAGAGTGTACAGTGTGTGCAATATATCCTACAGTGTATATATATATAAATATATATATATATATATATATATATATATATCGCAAACACATGTGATGCACTCTGTCTCCAAGCTCTTCTCCCCTCATGACTGAATGTGACACTGCCACTCCCCACTGAGGAGCTGAGTATAACGCCGTTCCATATATACACATAGCAGCTCTCTCTCTCTCTCTATTTCTGTCCTTTCCTCTTCCTCATTCTGTCCCTCTCTCTTTCACACACACACCTCATGTCCCACGAGTGACAGTGATGGCCGTTGACAGCTCAGAACATGATGACATGGCCACCAGCCACCCGCCATGCAGAGGGGGAAATCCCTATGAAATAAATATCACAAACACACACACTTCACTCGGGGAGATGGGCAGGGAACAACCTGCCCAGCTGACGAGTTCACGTTTAACCCTCACGCTGCTGACTGCATGTCTGTAGTGGGCAAAAGATACAAAAAAAAGGAGGGGGAAGAAAGAAACAGTGTGTGCAAGTGTGTGTGTGCAGATCGTGTGTGAGCATGTGTGTGTATGAGTGTGAATATAAGTGAAGCAGGCAGAGCTCACTGTGCACTCACTTTCTTTTTATATACAGGCTGGATGGAGAATCCATGTACCCTGTCAGCTTGGGACAGTCTGCACAACACACACACACACACACACACACACACACACACACACACACACACACACACACACACACACACACACACACACACACACACACACACACACAGAGAGAGAGAGAGAGAGAGAGAGAGAGAGAGAGAGAGAGAGAGAGAGAGAAGCTTGCATTTGTACATTAAAAGTGTGGGCTGTCTTGGAGGAGGCAGCCGAGGTGTAAAAGCCTCTTCTCTCTTGGTTTAAGAATCAGAGGAAGGACAGAATGAAAATGAAGGAAGAAAAAAAAAATATATATATATATATATATATATGTATAAATGTGGTTCCTGATGGAGAAAAGAATCAACATACAGTCACATTATGCAGTCATACACAGCACAACGTACAGTGAAATTTGTGCTCTGTATTTAACACATGATAAGTACTAGGAGCTGTGGGCAGCCACTGTACAGCGCACAGGACCAAATCCAGATCTGAGCCAGTGACTTGGTCATTCAACCAGCTTAGTTTTGTCCCAAAGGATGAAAATGATTTATTTGGGAAAAGCACAGATTGGTTCAGAACATTGCTCACTTTGATCAGCATGTGTGAGGACATTGTATTGACATTCATTCTGTTAAGGTTTAGTTCTATCTGAATCCTTTCTCTAAACTTAACTACAGTCTAATTTTACCATTGTATCTTATCAAGTAACAACTAAAAAACAAGCATAGTCATTGTTAGCACTGGCCAAAATGTCCTCATGACTTCAAACATCCTCCTGAGATTAATTTAAAAATCTAACCAGGGCTACAAATGAGCTTCAGCCTGATGCCCTATATACATTTGCAGTTGCATTGCTTCCCCCTCTGTTAACAATGTTTGTCTGTAGTGTCCCAGTTAAATAATCTAACAAATAAATCAATAAGTGACTTTGTCCTTGCAAGCATAGAGAAACAGAAACAAAGCCAGACACAAACACCTGGCTGAACTGACTCTTTCAGGCTTGCTCTGATGCCAAAGGTGCTGTCATGGCTCTTATTGTTCCTTCGCTTTTAACTATCATACTTAAAATTTAGTTAAATGCACACTCACATGCAACCACACATGCAGTGTACATCTATAAACACACACAAAAGAACCATAAACTAGCAAAATACAGCTATAAAGGTAGTAAGTTGACTCTGTGGCTTGAGGAAGTCATAGAAGGGTACAGATATAAATTTAGAACTGCAGGCAAGTTATGTTCAAAAACAAAAACAATAATCTTTATCCACACTTTAGTGGACAAAATGTACAAAAAAAACTAAAACAAATTCTGCTGGTTCTTCTTCTTTATCTTTTTCTTGCCGTCTCTTTGACCTGCAACTGACAGACTTGAATAAAGTTTCTCTTCCTCATGGCCACTGTAGGACAGGCTGTCTGGAACATTTCACCAGTCCAGGCATAGCCTGACGTCAGGACAGCCAGTCAGACACACGAGTGACTGGAGTGCAACTAACCAGCCAAAGAGGAGGACATCGAAGCTTTTACCAGTGAACTTAAGCTTGAGCTACCGTGATACAGTCAGAAAAAAATGTTCGGTCGAGTTTGTGCAAAAGTGAAGGGTTTCTATCATGCAGATTTTACACTGCAGTCAGGATGTTAATGTGAGTTCAATGTTAAATTAAATGAAAAGCCACAGCAGCTTCATTTATGCATTTTTCAGCCCATCTTAATGTGAGTGTTTAAAATGTTCAAACCAGCAATTTTATAACATCAAGAGGTGCTCAAACACTGGGAACTTCTGGCCTCACACAGCCCTGGTCATGAAATGGGAGATGGTTGAGTGGGATAGAGAAAGCAAAGACAAGACAAATATTGTTTGTTCCCTGAGTTAAGTAACGGGGCAGACAGTTTTAGGCAAGATGCCCCATCACTTCCACTTCACTGCTCTGCAGCGGAAGCGGGTTAAAGGAGTGGGTGGTGATCACAGCGGAGGCAAAAAGGGAGGGGAGGAGGCTGGAAGAGAAGAAAAAAAGAAAAAAAAGAAAGAAAGACTAGGAACAAAGTCGCTGAAGGAAGGACAGAAGTGATAGAGAAAAGGGAAGCTGATAGAGCAGAAGAGGGGGGAGTGAGAGACACATAAGAGAAAAGTAGAAAAAGAATTAGTAGAAGGGATGAGGAAGAGATGAATGATGAAGAAAAAAAGGAGAGTGTAAGCAAACAGTTGGACAGGGTGAAAGACAGGACAGTGAGTCATCAGACCTCAGCCAGGAGGTTTCTTATTTAATTAAACATGAACTCAAAATAAAAATCTATGTCTTCTCTTTCTCTCAAAGGGAGGCAATTATCTGATATTTTTCTAAGTTTTTGATGGCATGAACCTTCACCTTCTGTGCTTTGAGTAGTTTTTCACTTTAGACACCTGCGCATCAGGATTAAAGACGACATGAACAAACTTGTGCCCGGACACATCAGCCGTTCTTTAAGGTGTTGTGAGTTTTCAGAAACGCTTTCAAACAGGTTATCCTTTACTTGGCATATTTCCACTTCAATATTAATTCAGTATTTATAAATTAGATTTATTTGGATACTTCAACAAACAGGCTTTTGTTATAGTTCTGGTGGATTTCATACCTGCAGACTCCTTCAAACACAAAGGGTGAATCTAGAGAGACCTATAACTACTATAAACTCCATAAACTCTTTCAGGAGTCGGTGCAAGTCACCCACAAGTCCAGTAAGAATAGCTCAATGTAAAGAACATGACCCAGAACTGTCCCCAGGTGGTTGTGCCCTCCGTCACATTCTTCATAAACAGGTTTTGTGAATCATCTCTAGTGGAAAACAATGACAGTTGGGTTCTCAGCTCCTCTGAAGTCACTTGCAAGAATGTGGCCATTTGTACTGGAAAGCCTAGAGGTGATGTCTGCCTTTTGGAAGTCAACTGTAGATACTATATTAGTATGTAAAGTAAAACAGTTTCTGTTCTGTTAATCAACAGAAGGCGCAGGACAAACAGGCGTGTGCTGCCAGGGAAACAGCTGTGTGCAGTCAGAAACAGACGTGTGCTGAGAGGGGAGGTGGAAGGCCTGGCTGCCTGTCTGCGCACTTACTACACATTTATTTACATTGCACTGTAGATTTAAAGTTAAGGAGCGTTTCAGTGATAACACATTCTAATTAAAGTTGTCAACTGTGGTGTTTAATTGATTAGATGCTTGATTTGTTCTGCTGCACTCATCATGTCTTGGTTTAACTACCCATTTATGTCGTATTTTTAGGTGGAATAATTTCACTATACTGTTTTGGACAGCTGCAGAATAAAGGTTTATTAGTATGACTCAGAGTTTTAGCTCTTACGTGCCCTTGTTTTAGAGGGGGTAGTTGTAAGTGCGAGAGTACAATAAAGGGCGTAACAGCAGAGTGGAGAGTCTGATTGGGACCCCAAGAGAGTAATATTGGCACTGAGTCTAAGAAATGTAGCTCCCTTATTACCCAGAGCCCAGACTGACTGGAGAATGCTACACATGAAGAAGTTACACAAAGGATGGTAATTATTTAGAGTAACTCAGACTGCACTAATCAGCACACAACCTGTATTACTGTGTGTCTGTAATGGGCTAAACAAACAATCTGCTGTGACATAGTGTTAATCACATACTGTCTACCTGTAAACCAAAGAGTTTGTATTAAGGAGGACGAGGACCACAACTTGGGCAGATGTGGAGTGATGGCAGTAGAAGAGCAGTAACTCCACCTAGTGGCAGTTTAAAGTCACTGCACTTAGAGACCAAAATCTGAAAGGATGGAGCCACTGTAAGCAGTCTGCAGTCAGTGTCATGTTTAATAAGAACCACCACTTTATATCCAACACGGGGAGATTCAGCACAACCATAGGATCTTAATTCAGTTTTTTTTTTTAAGAAAAAATATATACAAAATGCAAAGTTTAAAAAGTTCATATCAAGCCTTTTATTTGGTATACAGATATTCATAGATTTATACAGTATATATAGATATATGTATATATGTAACACATGTGCCACTGCAAAATCACAGACAAACTTATTTTACTAAGAAAACAAAAGGAAAAAGAAAAATATATAATGTGCTTAATTTCAAAGTAGTGCCGTGAAGCGCTTGTAATAAAGGATGACCAGAACCGGAATGATGAGGTAACTGCCAGGCAGGAAAACAATCACTTATAATGGTTGAATAATAACAATAATAATAATAATAATAATAATAATAATAATAATAATCTACTGAAATAAATGGATCAAATAGGCAACGAAAAAAATATAGTGGCAACATGGACCCTTAGTGTCAAACTAGAGAAAAGGATTTAAGTCTATAACATACATACACACATAGTATGCATACAGACAGACAGTGCATAAACGTACAAACAGGAAGTAAAGTCAGTCACTCATGAGAGCAAAAACTCTCTGATGTTGTTAACTCTTGTCCGATACACAACAGAAACTCAGGCATGCTCCAGGACATCTAAAAATCTCTTTCTCTCACACACACACACACACACACACACACACACACACACACACACACACACACACACACACACACACACACACACACACACACACACACACACACACACACACACACACACACACACACACACACACACACACACACACACACACACACAGGCATGTCAGCCCAGCATTACAGGGCTGACCAAACAACGATTGCACAGTTGTACACACACACACGCACACACACGCGCACACACACACACACACACCCCATTACAGAATAGTGGTCAGGCAAAGATGTGAAGGCCTGCATTAATGTGAATAGGAAACACTAATAGAAGGGAAATGACCCAAGGTAAAATAACTGGGGAAGAGGGAATCAGATAAAAATCATATCCAATGTAAATGAGAAGGGATAAAGATTGAAAGGATAACAGACAAGCAGGAAGCGCTGCACAAAAGGACAAGGAAGTGGTGTGTGTGTGTGTGTGTGTGTGTGTGTGTGTGTGTGTGAGCACGTACATGTGTATCACTATATCAGGAGCAGGTAGTGCTGAGCATGTTTGACAGACAATTCGGAGCGTCTGGCTCCCTCATGTGGTCACTCGGAGTCTCTCTGGACCTCTGAGGCGTCGGCCCGACAAATGGGACACGTCCTGTTGGCCTGACGACAGAGCAGAAACAAAATTGATCCAGTTAGCTTTTTAAAAAGGCAGCTCATATCTTTAATGACACAAAATGTCAGATTCTAAAACTGCAGAGTTGGACAGGAACTGAACTCACTCATCAAAGAGTGCTGCTATTGATTTAAGATGATGACTTTCCTTTATTCGTTTTGTATTGATTTGTAATCCTATAACCCAATTTACACTGAGGCTTTGAGCAATACCTCGTGCCTCTAAATCATAAGACTGTGTTATGATTAACACAAGAACTTGGTGTTCAACTGACTTTTTTTTAATTTTTTTTTTTAGCATTTTCAGAAAGGACATTGATATTAGAGGTATGTGTACAGCTTCTTTTGATCTTCCTGTCCTGGTTTTTTTGTGTGGTTTACAGATTTAACTGACGGAACATTTAGACACAAGTAAAAATGTTTTTGTTATCTAACAGATCTCTGGAAGAGTGAGATTCTCACTACACATCTATATTTAAGAAGTGTCTGTGTCACTTAATTAACACATACTTGAACTGAGAGTGTGTCTTTAAACAAAAAATATGTTTTTCCTCCTGATAAGTTACTGACTAAATCTCTAAACGCAGCATTGCCAGGTCACTTACGAAAAACCTTACACCGGTCATCTGTGCACCTATTATGTGTCACTTTTGCTCAGAGATTTAAATCTATTACCAAACAACGTGTAATAGATCTTTGTTGAGGTTGTATATGTGTTTTACGTGGACACATTGTGAGTGAGTGGGCTCTCCATGGGGTCGGTACTTACCCTCAGCCACTTGTCGACGCACTTCCCATGGAACTCGTGGCTGCAGGGCAGGACTCGCAGCAATTGGCGGGACTCAAAATCACTCATACACACCACACACCTGCAACACAACAGGTACTGGCATGTAAAGAATGGCAACACAAACAACACACTTTTTAGACCCTTAACTCTATAATCACTGAAACGGTCTTCTTGCACCAACAAGGAATACATCTCCTCTTACTACGATTCATGCACCATCTGTAGGAAAACCTCAAGTTCCTTTTAGGAATATTCTTCGAAGTTGTTTTAAGCTTTCTGTAGCTTTAATTATATATAATATAAAAGGTGTAACCAATAAATATTAGCCTCTGTTAGAAAAATAGTAAAATGTACCAAAATCCATATGCTGGTCTTGAGGAGCTAATACAAAACCTCAAGAGAATAATTCACCGTACGTGCAGTGATGACCTGGTGGTTGGAAAAGGGCAGCACTCACAGTGTTTGTTCAGACTGATGGTTATTTGGATTGAACCGATAGGAAGGAAGCTGTTCTATGTCTCCCTTGGTCAGTCCTCGGAGTTTGGCCTCTCCCAGACGCTCAGCGAGGTTCAGGAGGGCCTGTGAGGGGGAAAAAAACAAAAACATGAGCAACAACAGAAGAATCAGAGTCTGCATCCAGCAAACGTACAGACAGAAGAATAAAAACAAAATCAAATAAACACAAACCTCATAATTCTCCACTTCTCCGTCGTCTACATCCAGCTCTAGACTGATCGCAGGACCTGTTGGCTGGACTGGCAGCATTGAACTGCAGAGGGAGAGATATAATGGAGACATTTAGTAGTTCAGTTTGATCAAAGAAGATAATTATATAATAAGCTGTGTAGCTGTAGTTATCTTTCTCTCAACACTTAACAAAAATAAGCTCTGATAGCATAGTATCAAGTTGAATAGTTAATGGCCAATCTTATTTTAAATATCAGGAGAAACTACGGTGGCCGCGAAACATGCGAAAACCGCAGACGCCCCTATCTAGAGTGTATGGTTTGTCTATTCTGGGCTACTGTAGAAACATGGCAGCTCAACATTGCGCACTCTATGAACGACCCACAGTGTCTGTAGATATAAAAAGCTGATCCTAAGGTAACAAAAACCAACATACATTCAGCTGATTATACACTAATGAAAACATATCTATGAATATTATATTCCATTTCTGCTGATCCTCCTAATCGTTACACAATGGACCTTTAACTTGTAACAAATCCTTTGTAAAAAAAAAAAAAAAAAACTAATTTGTCTTTGTTTTCATGAATTAACTCATGCCTACATTAGTAAGACCTCGCAAAAAGGTCCTTATCTTGGAGAAGACTTTCAATATCTTTGTAAAGTTTCAACAAATAAAATCTGACACACTTTATTCTCAGTTTATAAATAACAAGAGAATAATCGGTTCTAATGGCCTTCTTTTGCCTTCTCCAGGTATAACTAATCAAATTAGATTTCAAAAAAGAAAAGAAAAAAGGACTGGTGGATTTGTTTGAGACATTTCCTTTTCTGTTCTGTTCTAGCTAAAGTAACAAAAGTCACCCAACACAATCATTGACACCCTTCAACTGGTTGCATATTTCAATAATAAAATCAGGTCATTTACTGTATTTTGTACAGTTTGGCCAATAAAAATACCATCTTAGTAACTTAATGTAACTGATGTACTTACAGGAAGTAAGGCAGGAGGCTGGGGTGGTAAGGCGAAGGTGGCAGTGGCTGCTGTGAGCGGTACCGTCGCCCAGGGAGACGCCGAGGAATAAAGTTTGGGTAGGACTAGAGGGCAATTGGGAATACAGATATGACAAATTATTCACATTAATATTTTTCCCCCTCTACTCAAAAGGTAAAAAAAAATAATTTATGGTTTTATTAAATGATTCTTATTTCTCACCACTCCGAAGAATTCCTGTGGCAAGGGGTCATGGGAGAGGAAGTGAAGCTGTGTGGAGTGTGGGGTGAGGGCAGGGTGGGTGGCAGGAGGATAGTGGAGCCCAGCACCCAAAGAGAGGTGCTCTCCAAGCAGCTCTACGTCATTCTCTATCCTCTGTAACGGCTGCAAGGGTGGAGAGGAAATTATGTCGAAAATTAAAAAAAAAAAGGACAAATAAAGTTTGGATAGGACTAGAGGGCAAAAATACTCAGTGTTGCCAGCTGAGATTATTTCATGTGATCACAGCAAAAGACATTCAGACACTAGATAACACATAAGTGATTAGGATATATTATAGAACATATAGAAAATATTAGAATACAGAGACTTCTTCTTTAACTGTAATAGCAAAAGCAGTTTTCCTTGGTGGTGTTTACTCACCTTACTGTAACTTTGATGTTTGCAGCATAGGCAAACATCTTAAAAACACCTTATTTCAGAGCATGTCCTGATTTATTGTTACTTTAACATTGTAAAACACTTTTGCTGCTGTTTTTCCATACAGCAGGTGGAACATATGAAACTCCTCTGAAAGATGCTGACTATCACACCTGGAGCAAAAACTTGCTTTTAGGTAGTTTTTAGAGATGCCCATGAAGTTAGATATAGTCAACAAAAATCTTGTCCTTTCAGACCTTCAATGCCGTAACATCAACAAAAGCTGCACCGGATACCAAACAAGAATTCCTACTCACCGATCGGGCCTGCTGTGTCGGATAGGGTCCAAACTGTCCAGGCTGAGGCAGGTGAGGTGGGTGGTGGGAAAGATGTGTTGGGGGATGGGGGAGGTGAGGAGGGGGAAGCAGGAAGGTCGGATCACTGGACAGCAGTGATGGGAATGGGTAGGGCATGGGTAGGTGCTGCACAGAACAAGTCTGAAGGACCTAGCAGAGAGACAAAAAGAAAACAATAATGAAAACTCATCAGCAAGAAGAAATCTGCAAATGTGGAAACATTCTGACCAAACTACACAGCTAAATCTCTGATAGAAAGACACACACACTCACAGGAGGAGGGACACTGCAGACGGGATAGTGCTGTCCACTGAAGACTACTGAGCATGCTGGGATCTGCTGAGGGGCAGAGCGAGGCGGCAGGCCTGGTGGCGCTCCCGGAGGAGACACAGGATACGAGACAGGAGCTGAACCCTAAATATAGAGATGAAAAGGGACAAGGTCCTCAACTTTTCGCACACAGAATGGAGTTACAAGACTTAGTCCACATTGTCTAGATAGTAAATAAAATATATCATAACCTCATGAATCAGTGCTGACACCACAGATTTATCTTTGGTGTTGAGTACAAGTCGACCAGGGTTTCCAAAATAAAGGCATGTCCAAAGTTAAAATGTTCATGATTAACAGAGTGCTTCGTGATTTAATGACGCCCACAAGAGGATGTCTTGCAGTTACAGTAGTATTTTTAAGAAAAGAGCAAACATTTTCCATGTTGTAATTGGCAATAATTTGTGGATATGAAATCTGATATGAACCTTGTTGAAATATTAGTTGAACTGAATTTCATTTATTGAAGTCAAACAACTCAACTCACTCTTTCACCTGCAAAGAACTTGCTGATGAAAATTAAACCTGGGACAGACTTTATCTACTAATGTAAACTGTTCTCATCAAAGTCAATAAGAAGTGTGATGTTTTGCACTGTGTCTAGCGTTGATGATAAAAACTGTAACACCATCAATGAGCGATAGCCAAAAAGCTATTTGTTAAATATCGCATATGATGAAATAAAAGATATGACACAATTTCTTAAGGGTTATAAATAAAACATCTCAGACAATAAAAATAACACTTATTTTCCTGAAGCATCTCCCCCTGTAAAAAACAACAGACATGCTAATAGACAGACCCACATACACCAACTTACAACAATCTTTCACATACATGGCGACGATTAGTTTTCTTTGATAAATACGTTGCTGCTCTGAAGATCAAACCGACCACAGTAAGACATTAAAATAAAATCATATTAGTCATACTCTGTGTAGTTGACATCTTCAACCGCAAATAATTTAATGGTTTAATATCACATTGTATTGTTTTTAGATGAAGTGTATGAATATGTGTTTTATGCGTGCGTCTCATTTTTGTGCGGAATGAAAAGAATGCCCAAGAATAAGACCACCTTTAAAAAACACATCAGTCATAAACAATAAGTCATGTTTTCTCATCTCAGAGGTCAAGTGGAATCATTTCAGTCCTTTTTCAACTGTATAAATACATAGTTTTATGAAGTCACCTGTTCATGGAGGTCCAGCACCATACTGCTCTGTTGCTGAGATGGATGGGGGTGTGGATGGGGGTGCGGGTGCTGTGGATGGGCCGCAGGGTGCAGCAGCCTGGGAGACAGATTCGGTGACTGGTGGAGGGGCCTCGGGGAGGGGTTTGGGGGATGGTGACCCGGGCGCTCTTCAGGCCCAGGCCCCAGCCCTCGGGGAGGTTGCTGGCTGTAGGGTGGGTAGCCCAGAGGTGGAGCCGGGTGACGGTAGTTCTCATCCTGGTGGCCTGGCGACGGGCCGTGGTGAGAGTGCATGTGGTGGTGGTGGTGATGATGGTGGGCGTTGGGGTGGTGATGGTGGTGGTGATGGTTGTTGTTGCTGTTGTAGTGGTGGTGGTTGTTGTGGTTGTTGTGGTTGTTGTGGGCGTGGTGGTGGTGGCGAGTCAGACGGTCTCTCCGGCCACGCTGGCGTCTCATTGGAGGGCTGAGGTGGAAGAAAGAGGGGAAAACTAAAGAAGAGGCAAAAGGAGCCATGTTGTCATTTGCATCATTATTATTACAATACTAGGGCTGTCACCTACTTAAAAGAATACTACAAAATCAATCCAGCAGAAGAAAAGATATCATCTTTTTTATTCCACACATTCTTCTTCCTTGTTGAAACACCTATATTACCAACAATGCAACTGTTCGTTCTTAGAGATTTGGGTGTGTTATGCAAGTAGCAGCTAATGTAGTCTCGAGCCATTAGCCTCAAGCAGAAATGAAGAGCGGGCTACAGAGGTCTGGTAACCGCACATCTTTCTAACTCCACACCTCCTGTTTGGCCTCAACTGACGCCGACTGCTCACTTGAGGCCATCAGATTTCATACAGGTCGCTCTGGAAGCCCAAAGGGTTTATACAGCTTTTTTCACATATAGTAAACAGTAGTGCTCCCCAAGACCTGTTAACAGACTGATTTGTAAAAATCGGTGGAGTTCCCCTTTAAGTTTCACTATGAAAATCTGACAGAAGTTTTAATACATAATAATGACAGAAAGACGGACAAGAAGACAGAAGATAATGCATTTTACCCATATATTAACGCCATGGATGCTTTCACTGGCAGATCAGCATTGAAGTCATTGATATTTTTTATATTTAACTTTAATTCAAATATTGAAATTTATCAGCAGCTCTCTAATGAAGGCAGCCTCAACACACACACAGTGGCAGACGCAGTCATGCATCACTAAACATCACTACAATTACTGATGCTTTGATATATTCAAGCATTTTGTTTTTGAGTTTAAGACCATGAATCAAAACATATTCATTGTAGGGATTTAACTAATGATTATTCTTATTAGCAATTAATCTGATGATTATTTGTAGATTAATCAGTTATTATTTGTACTGTAAAATTAAAAACAAATATTAAAAAAATCTTTAAATGTCCTGTATAGCAACTCTTCACAATTTGAGTCTAGAACTAGAGAGTATTTAGCACTTTTGCTTAAGAAGTGATTATTAAAATAGTCGCAGAATATTATTCTTAACCACAAATATACTAATAATTCCAGCTTTATTTCAATGCTTTGACTAGTGCCGAATTGGCAGTATCAGTCAACCAAAAAACATCCTGGCTGATTAATTCTTATGGTTTGTTTCATACAATTGATAACTGAACACTTGTGTTTTTTAAAGGATGATCAGACAGAGTAAACAAATTCAAATAAACCAGGGATGACATTTCTCATTCTGTTTGGCATTTTAACAATTACAAGGTTAATGATAAGAAGATTCTATGTATTTGTGACATATACTTACCTGCGTCGGTTGCGAAGAGGTGTATGGCATCTCTCTGGCATGTAATGGGGGTGTGGTCTGCGACTGGGAGGCAGCTCCCAGGGGCGAATGGGAGAGGAAGGAGTAGAGGGAGGGGCGGAGCTTAGATCCAACATGGACTGTTGGGAAAGACGCTGCCTTTTCGGACTCGGGCTGTCTTCCATCTGCACACAGAGGTAAAGGAGGAGGGGGAACCAGGGGGATGGTTGGTTAGGGAAAAACAAAAAAAAAAAAAGAGGACACACAAAAGGGGAGAATGAATAAGAAAACAAAGACATACAAATCCTATTCAAAGCAGGAGCAAAGCAGAGGCAACAGGCAGTGGTCATGTTTCATACTTACTTTGTCCCGATCCTCGCTGCACACATTATCTGGATGGAAATGTAGCCCTCCTCCTGCAGGCCAAAGAGGGGAAAAAAAAACATAATCAGATAAGATAGGGCTGAGAAAAACATCAACATCACAAGACACATGGACATACGCTCGCTAAGCCAACAGAAATACAACACCACTAACAACACACAGGCAGCTGGGTGCCTTTGATTTTAAGACCCTGCTGGATGCCAAAAAAAAACGTATCTTGATGAAGCCTGGCTGATTTGCTTGAGCAGACTTAAAACTATAAAATTCAACAGTGATAAGAAAAAAAGTGCATCCAACATCTTGCTTCACAAAGAGAGTTACAGTCCTCCATCCTCAGCAAGGGTCTGTCTTCCAAACAGGCTTTTGAATTTCCTGCTTTAAACAAGCAGACAAGAGAGGAGGTCATCTCTGGAAGTTGTCACACTGGACTCGTCCTCTCAGACAAATCATTCCTCTGATCTACCATGAAAACCCCGAACAGACTCACAGAGACACAGACATCCATGACACACTAGAGCGCCTTGTTGGCTGTGCACATGTAACGTTGTTTAAATGTGGATAATGACTTTTGTCTTCAGTAATCAGCTCATCATCACATTTCTCCAAGTTAAGATTGTGTATGATCAAAATGTGAAATTATTAAATCGATTAATTGATTGAGAGAAAACTAATCTGTAATGGTTTAAGTCATTTATCAAGCAGGAATGCCAAGCACTACCCCAATTATGCTTCTCAAATATGAAGATATATAATATATAATCAGCAATAATACCATAAACTGGAGTGACACTGTAGTCCTTGTGGAAACCCTTACCAGAAAGCCTGGCTTGAAGTCTGTGGGATGGCAAGCCTCTGAGCAAGGCAGTGAACCATTATTAGCTCTGCAACAACAGCTCAGTCTACATTTTTTTAAATCTCCTTCTGGTGAACAACTGATAAAAATCTCTCTCCAAAGATCAATAGACCATCACAAAAAAAGGACTCTTTAATGATACGAATGAGATCAGTAGATTCAAAAATTATGGGAGAAAAGTCACATCACTGAATAAAGCGGCAATACCATAAACATAATCTTAGAAGAACACAATGCTCTCCCAGCTGTTTATCTGACAGTCCACATGTGCAATCTGGATGCAGCATGTGCACACAAACATTTCAGCAGCTTAAGAAGGATGTCCTTGAACTCAGCTGACAAGAGTTTCCTCTAAGCAGTCCCCCAAAAACCTTTAATCACCAAAAAGAAGGGGGGAAAAAAGCTTTACTCCCCTCATCTCTTTTTCCCCTCTATGCCTCCCTCATCCAAACAGCCCCCTTCTGTCTCCTCAGAAACAACAGATCTGAAAGCAACCCCCCACCCCTTTCTTGTCTTTGCGACGCCACTCCAGAGCCATGTGAAGTCTGCCGATAGTGACAGCTCAAAGATGCTGAAGTCTTTGCCTAGTGGCTGTGGAGAACAGAGGGATGGTTGGTTGACTGACTAGCCAACAGTAGGGGCAAACACACTGGCTTATATCTTTATCGTCTACCATCCCTTTTTCTTTAGACCTCGTGTTCTAAAGGAGAACTCGGTCTGTTAACGCTGATTCACCCTGGAGGCCATAGGAGAGGGTATGGTGAGACAGACTGGACGGCTTACTGTTGGCGATCAGACACAACCTTGTTTCCTCCGAGCATGGCTGCTGGGGAAGACTGACACCATTTCTTTCACAACAGACAATCAAGTCAGGCCGGCAGGATAGTGAACTTAAGAGTATCAGCTGTCATCAAGCAGCAATTTGCTCTGTTCTTTAGCTGACATACAAAGACTCAAAGCATTATTTAGAAGAAAAACGCCAAAAATAGATACTGTTATTTTACCCACATAATCTTTGGAAATCTCATGTGACAACAGTATTAACGAAGATCTGTAGAAACTGAAGTTTGCAATGCGGGCAAGTTGTGGGATGCAACACTCACTATTAAAGCTACACTGGGTGATAACATGCTTGACACTGGGGGAGTGAAAGGGGAGGAGAAACAGAGAAGGAAAAAGGAAAAAAAACAAGACAGAGGGAGACATTTTTAACACCCCCCCCCCCATCCAACCCCAACACATTCTGCATAATGTGATGCCAAGAGGTGTAATACGGTGGCATGTACAAAAACAAACAAGCACAGACAAACAGGAAATCTGACTACCCCTTAAAATACACTTTTATTTAGCTTACACACAGAACATGCCACACACACACACACACACACACACACACACACACACACACACACAGGCGTCTAGGAAGAGGCATGTGCAGCTGTTAAGAAGAAGGAGGCAGATCACACAGCTGGGAGATACACTGTTTAAGTTATTCACACAAACCTCTCTGTACTCTCTCAATTTGGGAAGCATGTGTTTGTGTGTTTGTGTGTTGTGTGTGTGTGTGTGTGTGTGTGTGTGTGTGTGTGTGTGTGTGTGTGTGTCCCCTCTGTGTGTGTTATTTTGGGTGTTTGGCAAAGAGTGCTGCTATTACGACAGAGGAGGCCCATTAAAAGCCTGCTTTCATTCATTCACTGCACTTTTTTTGCCTTTAAAGGGCAGCCAATCTGGTATTACAGAAGGTATTACAGTCACTTTCCAATGGTCAGCCATGGAAACCGGCTGAACACTGAATAGACTGGTGTCAATGTGGACAAACGGTGAAAGGACGCCGGGGTGCAGTCTCACTTTGAATTTCCTGGCAATTTAATTTGTTTATTCCTCTTTTTTCATTGCCGTCTTAGTGAGTTTGGGTTGGGTTGGGTTAGGGACCACTGCTGTTGTAGGCACAGAAAGCCAATTGATACTGGGCGATGCAAATAAATTATAAATTGACAAAGTGAAGAATCTAACACAACTCTTAGTAATTCCCCTATTTCAGACATCACTTTGAAACCACTAGATGAGAAATCTGTTTGACTATAGAGCTGTGCACAGGCTAGAATATAAGTTGAATAGCATTAAGAGACTTATGGATGAAAGGGCTGATGGTGAACTACAAGGAAGCCTACATCACAGCAGTGAGCAATCTGAAAGAAAAAGATAAAATCACTATCAGAAAGAGATTTAATTTCAAACCATTTTGAGGCTTGTTTCAAGGTTTCCAAACTGCTCTTTTAATCAGACACTTGCAAAGACTGACAATGATTATGCAGGATGTCCAAACCACCAGGCAAATGACTCTGTTTATGATCTGATGACCAATGAAAGCAAACTCTGCTCTTGCTAATGTGTCCACTGACCAACCAGCAGAAAGATTTTATTTATTCAGCACAGGGCTCAAAATTAGCACCAGCCAAATGGTTAGTGAATATTCATATTTTGCCAGCCACTCAATGGTTTAACATTGGCTGGTGAGTGAAGCAAATCTAACAGACATTTGCATATTTTACAATCATTTGGCTGGCAAACAAAAAAATAGTTAATTTTGCACTCTGATTCAGTATCCACATTATTACTAAATTACCATATGTTGACCTCTAATTCTAATTAAAAGTTTAGTTAAACTAATTAGTTTTCAAGAGTTATCAGATTACCTATAGCCATACTTTCCTTATGTCCTGACTAAAGCTGCAAGAGTAACATAATACATATGACCTGCAGGCCCCCAGCACCACCATGCCTAGATTATCCAATGGGAATTTCTGCAGTCCTGGATTCCTACTGAGCATAAAGCCAGGCAATGGCATACAAGACAAAGTTCAAGAACCTGGGTTCCTGCCCAATTTACCTGAGTAAATGCTATTCAAACCTCTAAAGCAGAACCTGCACTACAACACCTGACATGACATATAGCTGGCCTTTCCAGCAACAGCTGGCAGTGGAAGCACCAAAGCCTTTTAGTTAAATGTCTCAAAGGCTGTTGAGCTGCTAGTGGTCTGCCTACATCCCTCAGGGGGTGTATCCTGTGTGAGTGTGTGTGTGTGTGTGTGTGTGTGTGTGTGTGTGTGTGTGTGTGTGTGTGTAATGATGCATCTAGCCGGGCTGCAGGCCCTGTTTACTGAAGCCTGCTTACCGGCCCCGGGGTGTCTGTGAGCTCCGTGCGAAGAGTGGCGCTGCGCCCCTGCGGACAGGTAGCTCCCCTGGGTGTGCTGCTGCTGGCTCTCCGGGTAGCTACGACCTCCGTGGTGCGGCGCCCAGCCGGGGTTGCTCTGCTGCGGGTAGCTCACTCCTCCTCCGCTGGCGTTCATCATGCTCCCGTTACCAACCGCGTTACCACTGCCATTGCTCCCAATGTTGCCGTTCATGCCGAAATGATAGAAGCCAGACCGAGACCGCGACCGAGTCCTCGGGGGGTCCATGACTGGGGAGGAGGTGGAGGAAGAGGAGGAGGAGAAGAAGGGGGGCGGTGGTGGTGGATGGACGTGATGAAGGTAGGCTGGAGAGATGGACGTACAGAAACGGACAGGAGCCTCCCTCTTCAGACCGCTTCTCCGCGTCTCTCTACCCACCTAGTTACCTCTGAAGACGACCGGCTACTGCGAGTGTTTTCTGAGGCATTTAAAGCCGCTGTCTCAATAAACCGAGCGGGGATACCTGGAGGCAGCGGGTTCAGCCCTCATATGTCGCACAAGCACCATCTGCATCACATCCACTCCTCGGTATCTGTGCGGAGACCCTTTATTTATTGTACCACTTATGAACGCACATGAGTATTTTTTTTTAAAAAAGAGGATATTACAGCTTTATCAGCATGGAGGTTTAAACACACAATTATCAAAATACTATTTTTTATCATGAGTTGAGTTGTCAGTGGGGTTTTCGTCGGTGCCAGAACAACAGCTGAGAGAGTCTCAGGTTCTCTATTGTCTTTTCACAGTGGAAGAAGAGTCAGGCTTTTTCCCCCCACAGAGAAATAAAGTATTTTTAAAAAGGAAACAGTCGCACGTAATTGGATCCTACACGAGTAATCCCATTGCCGACGCTTATATTAACGAGCAACTGCAACAAAAGTTAATATCCTTCTCTCTCTGCAAACCCAAAAAGCTTGTCAAGTTAAATTCTTAAACCCCTTTCAACACAAGCAAGATGGCTAGCTGTCGAGCGCTAGCAAACTAAAGGAAACCAGCTGCCCTGGTAGCTGGCTGTGAAACAAAGTTAATAGCATAGGTTCGTGAATAAACTGCAACTAAACTGCGACGGGTAAGCCTTTCTGTAAGTAGTAAAGTTACACCCCTTTGCGTTGGCTAACTATACCTGCTCGTTCATTAGCATAATTCCGATTTTCCAGCTAGCCCGAGGCTAACAGGAAGCGGAGTCTAGAGGGAAAAACAAGTCCAGTGCCGACATTACGAGCTAGCTAACGTCGCACCGTGTCGAGGTTGGGCTCGTCGTTAAACAGTATTAATATCGGATTACCTCGGACTGCGTGAGAAAACAGACAGCTACCTTATCCGTCAAGCGAGGTGGACAGTATTTGTCCAATTTAAATCCCCTCTCGCATTCGCTATCGAGTGTTTTCTCTGGTCAGCGGGGAGTGTAGTGGAGATCAATCAATGGGAGTTTCACATCTCTCTCAAGTCACTCCCAATCGATCGCGGATAAACACGTAGCTCATCACAGGCCAAACCCGCGGTGTGTTTCGAGATAAATCGCATGAACATAAAAGCGAAGGTACATTAACATCCGTGCAACACCCGTCGAAATATTTTTTGTTTAATTATCAGCCGTTAATGTCGATTTTAAGGAGCAGCTTGTTATCGGAGTCGACTACTTCAGTCTGGCAAACCCCGGGCAGCTGCTCAGTTCATTAATAATTCAGCAGCTTCATACCAGAAATACTATAACACAACGCTTTGAAAGCCGCTGGCTTCATACAGCTTTCCAGGTAGATGAGCTCTACATACACTGATGGTGAAAGCATTCTCTGATATATCATATAAACCTAAACACACACACCTATAGGTTTTCACGTATCAGTCGTCACGTAATAATCCTCCACCCGGAACACAAATCATACAAGAGCTTACGTGGAAATCCATGTTTATTGTCGTTTTTACAATATAAATATTAGTCTTTACAAAAGGTCCATCAAAGCTCTTTGCCTCTGACCTGATTTCAAGTACTGTAATGACAGAAAATAATATGTTACAGTAAAACTAGCATTAATATTAAGGGAGATAAAAAAAAAAAAAACACCCTCTACAACATGGTACATGAGCCACAAAGCAGACAGAGTGTAAAAACATATTCCAAAATACTGTATGTTGACAACTTGGCACAGCCAGAATAACAGTAGTAGATGCACTTGAGGAACAAAGTACAAAAGCACATTCACACCAGTCACACTGAAGACGAGCGTCCGCCAGCTGTAAACTCTACAGTTTTTTGTATTGTAATACATAAATTAATCCATCAAAGACATACAAAAAATATGTTTTGTTATTAGTTACATTTATTACATCTTAAAAATAAAAAATAAACAATCACACTTCATCTTCTTCGGTGGCGTACTCTTTGTTTCGGGGAAAGAAGGTTTTCATTACTGATGTTTACGTCACCATATGGATATAATTCCCCATGTTTTATCCCTCCTCTCTTCTTCCACCTCTCTGCCTCTCCACTCCTTCTGCCACCTTCCTCACTCCTCCTCTTCTTCTGTGGAGTGGGTGCAGACTGCCTGTGACTGTGGAGTGGAGACCTGAAGGGTTCTGCTGGGCAAACTTCATCAAAGCTCCCCCGGGATCTCCCCAGTAGTCCTCCTTCCCGTCTTGCTTGAGCCTCTCTTCTCAGCCTCTTCACCTCCCTCCTCTCTCTGCGCCTCTCTGGCCACGTCTTCCTCCTGCCAGCCCGGCTACATGTCTCCTGGGTTGGCCTGCTCCGCCCGTGGACTGGCTGATTCTCCTCGCCGCTCTTAGCTGCTGGTTCAGAATGCTGCTGGTCTGAGAGAGGAAGGGATCCAGCACTCACAAGCTCTGAAAACACAGCATAGAAAAATAAAATCCCCTTGATAAACGGTGTATAGATTAAGAAGCTGTTGTTTGCAGCAATACAAATCCACATCCAAGAAATTATCAACAAACTCTGCAGTTCTTCTTAGTTCTATGGAGCGCTTAGTCATTCAGATAATTTTGTTGGTTTAACGGCCCGCAATTTAACTACTGTGATTCACTCTCACTACTCTCATCAACCCTGTTTTCAGACAGCTTGCTTCAAAACTCTGATAAAACCAAATACTCTACCTGCACAGAACAAAACATCGGGCAGAAAAAGGTAGCGACCAGAACAAAATGTACCATTTAGCAGCCAAAGATAGATAAAAACACAGAAAACAGACCGGAAATTGGTTGCCAGTTTATTAGGTACACCTAGCTAAAACTCTAGACCACAATCATATTCCATTCAAGATATGGTTTCCAGGTACATAGGAGGCCTCAAGCTACACTTCTCAACTGGATAGTTTATCACACATTGGCAAGACCTCCAAAAAGGAAGTCCAACTGGCTGCATCACCTCCCCCCGTCTTAGAGTTTCATGGATGACATCACAGTAACAACAGAGACTCATGTACAAGCCAGATGGGTTTTAGCATCCATGGACAATTTTGTAACATGGGCAGGGATGAGCTTTAAGGCCAGGAAGTCCAGGTGTATGGTGGTTAGGAGAGTCTGTTCCATCTATTGAGTACAGCCCAATTAAATGTCTTGGCAAGTAGTTCAGTGGGTCGAGGACCTGATACAGCCAATGTCATAAACACCCTGAAGCAAACCGATTAGTGGCTGAGAGTTATCTACAAAACTCAACTCACGATTTGATACAATTCACGATACTGGGTTATGATATGATTTTCTCACAATTTTTTTTAATGACATTATGACTAAAAAAGATTTACTTTATTTCAGACAAAAATCTACTAAATATATTTTCTAAACTGTGCAAAACAATGCATTTCATTTTCTTTGTAAATGTAAAACTGAACGTGAACTACTGAACATTTTCAGATATTTGTATCGCGATTTGACGATCTTGCAATCTATTGTCATAGTCATACAGTCTTTGAGTAATGCTGCTGTGGTTCTTCACAGTGTGCAGTTTTCCCATGACAAGTGAGTATTGACAGGGAAATCCAAAAGCACTTATGGAGATGGTTGGGTGTTCCCATAAGCTTTTGCTCTGTGGGTCTCTACATTAGATCAGGCCAGCTGCAGATTACATTATCACCACTAGTAATTTAAGGAAGCTAAGGTGTAAGCTCTAACATTAAGAGACTCGTAAGATCAATGCATGCGCCAAGCTGGAGTTACGACGTGATCAGGCCACAAATGGCTGATGCAGCTATTAACCATCATCTGCATTCAGTGCTCTCAAGGTAAGGCTTCGGCTCTGTGCATTTTAAACAGAAAGTTAATGCAATGCACCATGATCCAGGAAGAAGTGAGGAACTTCAAGAAGGAATCAAGGAGACATGGGAGCTGCCCAAGAGGAAGCGAACATCCAGCATTCTTACTGTATCTTCCCTCACCAGCATGTGTGCACACATGGGGGCTGATGGAGGACCCCAGCTGTAAACTGAAGGGGATTCTAACACACATACTGACAGGGTGCAAAACAGCTCTAACCTAAGGCCGGTATTGGTGGCTCCATGACAAAGTCTGACACGTTGGAGGAATAACGCAGCCAGTTAATTGTCTCCTTTGTTCAGAAGAGAACCATGGCAGGCACATCCCACAGGCCTGAACCCTCCATGCAGCAAATGGCAAGGTCTTGGGAGAATGTGCTCCATAGATTGTGTTGTGGTTCCCCAGAAGACGAGAAGATAATCCTGCTGGAATTTACATGGGAGGAGGGTTGTCAAGAGGCACATTAAAGCATAGCCCCAAAATATCAACCTCTAGTGCAGAACTGCAGAGACGAAGGATGGCAAGCAAGGCTGTTCTCCATTGAGGTCGGTTGTAGAGGTTTTTCTACAGCGTCTGTTTGGCAATTGCTGCCTGCTCTGGGTGACCACAGAAAGAGGAAAGGGGATGTAACTTGGCCAATGGGGCAGGAAGCAGACAGTGCCTCTTGCTGAATATGGAGTTGGTGAGAGGAGAGAAGCTGGAAGTCAGGGGCAGATGGGCAGTGATTTGGCTTCTACTGCTTATCCACCAAATGGAGGGTGTCATGGTTAAGGCTCTAAACACCCTATGAAAGTTGTGTTCATCTAAGGCCATCTGCTCCTGAATAAAAGGCTAAAGTTACCCCATTAATAGGTAACTGGAGAGACCTCCAAATGGTGTATGCTGCAATCAATACAATTGTAAAAGGGGACCCTGGGAGGACTAGATGTGTTTTTAATTAGATTAAATTAAAATAAAAAGCAAAATGACACAATTTTATGCACATTTATCCATCACTGTATGTACAATAATACTGCATGTACTATATGTTTTGTCACCTTTGTCTCTTGTCTGCATCCTGGTACGACGTTGGAAGATATCCTCCATGGTGTCATAGTGGCAAACGTAGGGCAGTGAAGGAAAAGTCCCACTGATCATCCTCCTCTTGGTGCACTCCTGATACCGACAGAGGGAGAGACACAGATGTACAGAGACAGACAGAGAATGAGAGAAAATGTAAAGGATGGATGCAGAAGAGTGGTGCTAATACAAAAAAAACAAAGTGACTAAGGGAGAGAGAAAAGAGAGAGTATATGAGAGAGGTACGTTGTACAGAGGTATATAGAGGGGAAGAGAGAGGCAGAGAGAGACATGAGACAGTGTAGAGAAAGAGACAGAAAAAGAGAGGGATTACAGATTTAAGGCAGAATCGAGCCAAGAAGGAAAGGAGAGGTGGTAAAAAAAAAAAGAAGAGAAGGACTCCTTTTTATTGGCCACTTACATAGCCATAATGTCCCCTCTCAGAGCAGTTGTAACAATGAGCAGGGCATTTCTCATGTTTTAGGGTCTGGACTGTCCGTGGCCTGAGTGGAACCTCTAACTGGATCTGAAAAAAAGGTCAAACAAAGAACATTTTTTAAACATGGAAAACATTCAATTTCACCAGCCTATCAAAAAACATATAAATATGGTCCTCTGCCCCCTCCTTTTCATTTGGATGGTTTCCATTTTCTAGTTTTGAGAAATTGGAGTTTAAAAGTGTGTCTTGCCTAGTAAAGAAGTTGGGATAAGCAAAGTGCCATACACTCAAAACTTCAACTCACTGTCAAGTGGTATTGTCTCCATGTATCAGGGCAGGCCTGAGGAAAACCCAGGAAACAAAAGAGGAAATTATTCTTTTGAGCACTATAGAACAAAGCATTGTGTAACTTGCACTGAAGATGAGAAACTGTTTGCTGAGATCAAACAGCACTTCATAAATGGGGCCCACACACACCTGAGGCTACAGAACATGTCAACACCCAACTGACAAATGCTTTTAAAGTTTCCTTCAACACGGCAACACACTCACAGGGGCCAGACCTCAGGGCTAATGGACAAAACTCACATCAGAGAGATGCCCTGCCATACCACAGCGCTGGCAGTGTTGGTTCCACAGCGGGGGCCTTTCGCAAGGCTTGAATCCATGTGAACGCAGGCCACAGCTAGGGCAGGGGCGGCCTGGACAGTCCCTCTGGATGTGGCCTTGGATACCACAAAGGACACAGGTAGGACACTTCTGCTGACACAGAGACGAAAAATGATTTTTACAAGAGTGATAAGGTGGGTGTTATGATGTTTGCAGTCAGTCCCTACAGGTGATTGTGAAATTACATCACGACTTATGTCTCCAGTGTCACTTATGGTAGTCTGTAAGGGACATTAACATTAAAAACTGGGTAACCTAGTCAGTTAAACATTAATGTTTTGTCATCTATTCTTCAACTTGACAGCATAATTACACGTGACAGCACAGCAAAATATTCCATGTTTAAGCAGATGAGGCCATAATTGGATAGTTAAAGTATAAACATCAGCTGGACTCAAACAACAGATGTTGTTAAACATCTTCGATCAATATGAAACCCCGGAAGTGGTTTTAATAAAACAGAAATCTCATCAGCTGGATCGTAATTTCAACCTGAATCAGGGTTATTAATAGCTTTATTAATCAAACCCTACAATTACTATTCCTTCTACAAGGCCGCGATATCTGCTTTATATATATATTTCTATATATCTGCTCTACTTAATGACAGTGTGGAAGAATATTATGTGTGTGTAAAAGAAAAAGGATAGATCAGTGTTCTTTTACCTTGTGGTAGTAGCAGCTTTTGGCAAGGTGTCCCGTCCTGTTGCAGACGTTACAGATGAGAGAAGGACCAGGCACAAAATAACGAATGGGGAAAGGCTGATACCGTCCGTACTAGATAATATTAGAGAGCAAAGACATGACAGACATTATTTAAAAAGGCAGTCTTGTAAGTTCATTAGACCACGGACAATTTTCTTTCCTTCTTTTGCCACAAATCCATACTGGGAATTCTACTACACAGAGCTTATCTTTACTGTTGAATTACTCTTTACGGTAAATATTCTTAGCCCATTAAAGAGTCGTCTTTATTTAAATTTAGCTTTAAAAGTCATCAGTTTCATGTTTTTTTAAAGTATTTCTTATGCATACATACATTTGAATAATAGAAACAACAAATACAATTGAACAATATTTGCTTTTGAATTTGGATTATATAAACAAATCTCTATTAAAAGACCCCTAACACCTACTCAACAAATAATATTACATGACTAAACAAAATAAAAGTAGATTTCCTTGAATAAATTAGCTCTAATGTAGTATTCCTGAAAATCAATAAAAGTTATTTTTAAAAAGTTACCTTGTCTTTGTCTGATACGGCCCAGGTATCCTTAACTGATTTCACATTATGATCTATAATGGAGAGAATGACAAAGGAGAACATTAAGTTTTGTATAAAGAAATGTATTCCACAATATGTGGTTCTCAGGCAAGCACAATTTTAAAAAAAGGTTTTACAAATAAAGGAAGGATCAAGAGTTCTTTCCAAGCCGAGCAAATTTAGTCTTTCCTAGGTATTATGTGTTATAAAAGCTGTAAGTCTCTCAGGGCTTAGAAAACGGATATAAAACACTTGACCTTCTCACAATAACTATCACTGAGGTGAGATGTAAGGAAATACTTTAAACCTCTCTGCTCCGGTGGAGCCGCTGGCTGGCAAGATAAGATGGAGTGGTTGTGCAGGGCAGCTCCCTGGTGTGAATATGAGTATCATCATTAATGTGAAAAAGAGCATTTCGGAAAACGGAGTGCTTGCTGAGTAAAAATATATCAACAGAAATGTATTTCTATCTAAACACGTCTTTATTTTTCTGTATTTTCTGACAATATCCCATGTTGGAACACTGACACATTAAATAGCTGGTATTTCTGCTGCTCTATGAAATATTAGTTACAGAGAAAAAAAGATAGATAGATAATTTAATAAAAGCTTTACTTCAACTTAAAATCCCTAAATAGCAACAGCAGTGTAGCCTGTTTTTTTGTTATCATTGTTTTACAGCAGAAATCACTTATGTTGCCAATACTGTTGTTTTGCTTCTGTCTTCTGTCTGCTCTCTCTGCCCTCTCTCTCTTTTCACTCTCCCCCACTGTCAGACAGACGACCACCACCTGAGCCGGATCTGCCTTTTCTGCTTTAACAGGTTTCCTTCCCTTGTGCCAGTGCTTGCTCATTGGTACTGTTGTCTCTGTAATAATGTTATAAAGAGTTCGTCTAGACCTGCTCTATTTGAAAGTGTCTGAGGTAACTTTGTTATGAATTGGCGCTTTACAAATAAAATTGAATTGAATTGAAATTGAATTGAACCATTTCAACTAAAATCACAATAATTAAAATCCGTCCTTTAACTGAGATCACCTGATTTTAACTGAAGAAAATGTTCACTCTTAACCACTTCCACTGTTACACTGTTTATATTGTCAAACAGAAGTAAGTGGAGATATACCTTGGATTTCTGGGCCCTGTTTTGTTGATTTTTGCTGATTTGTACTAACAAGCAAATTGGTTGGCACAGTGGCTGCAGCACCTTGTGTAACAACATTCACATTTCACCCTGTACCCATCGGTCAGCAGTACAACACACACACTCCTAATTCAGAGAGGAAGACACACAGTTGGAGCCCATATACTGTAACTGACTACAGGTTACAGACAGACTGTTGAATTTGATTGTTTCATGTTTTATATAGTTATTTTCTTATTACAAGACAAAAGTAGATCCTTCAACACTTGTTGATGGACACACTTGGACATATTCCTTGTACTTCACTCATAGTTTGACTTGGTTTTCCTTCGGGTAACCATTTCAGAATCCCACATTGCAAAAGTATCTACTATAAAAACTAGTTCAACACAATGTCAACCCAGTGTGAGATCAAGAATCGTCTAACCTTCATCTCCAGATTCATCCTCAGAGCTGTCCCTGTAGCTCAGGTTAAGCTGGATGCTTGAGTCTCCCACCTGCTCCTCTCCTCCCAGGATCATCCACCCCTCAATGGGCTGGCCACTCTCCTCTTCCTGCAGCTTCTCCTCCTGTGAGTCCAGACTGGAGGTAGGCCCCGGGCTGCTGTCCCGCTGTGCCCGTCCAGAGGAGCTGCTGAATGCCAGGAGGAGCGGAGGAGAGCTTCCCCCGCTGAGCTGTGCAGCTCGATTACAGCTGCTGTGAGGTTTGTGGGGACTGAACTCGACCTCTCCTCCATCCTCTGAACTACTGGACCACTCAATAAAGAAGAGGTTGTCCTTGCCTCTTTTCTCACCATCGTCATCTTCATTTTCCTTCGTATAGTCCATAGTACAAGCAGCTGAAGAGCACCGCCCAACGACGGCTCAATGTTACTGCTATCAGACAGCGGTGGCTAATGGCTCATTTAGGTTAACACTAGCTTTTCCTTAATAACTGCAACCGGGAAGAAATTCCTTGGTTAGGGAATTTCTTTCTTATACGTGTAGCTAATTATGAAGTCGGTGTGTAAACATACAAAGTATGTACTGACACGTGGATTAACATCAGGCTAACTAGCGCTATGCTAACGTTAGCTCCGTAGTAGCCAAGGCAGTTTAGTTAATTCAGTTAAATTAACGAACACAAACCCGTTAAATAAAGTCCATAATGGTACTTTTCAGACGCTTACCGTCTTAAGTTCACAACATCTCGCTTGCGACTCCACGCAATACACAATACTTTGTTTCCTTCCATACAACTGAGAGGGTTACTCTCATTCTTGTTTACATTTGAAGCACTTTACCCGGCGTTAAAAAAAAAAAAACTTTACCCGGCGTTTCCGGGTGTTAAAATGTTGGACAACAAAAACCGCCCCCAGCGTTTAAAAACAAAAAGTTTGGCTAAAAGTTTAACCCCCTAAACTCTGGGTGGATTTGGTTTGTACATTTTTATCGTAATTTGTAATATAGAAGTCAAAAAGTAATGAATATTATATAACAGGAATGTTATAAATGACGATTCCCATAGCAACGACTTCCAATTTAATTTAATTTAAATGTATCCTAGCTGAACAGGAAACTAAATTAAGTACTTAATTTAAGTAAATACCTCAAATCTGTGAGCATATCTCAAGAATACAAGTGTAACTCTACTCACATTACACCACTGGCCTACATGTTAATATAAACATACTTATGTACTTATGTAATGTAAAGTGTAGCCCTATTTAATCACACTGAGTCACCATTGACCCAAATGGTGGAATGTAGGTTTCTAGGCTACTACTTCTCATTTCTTCATTTAGTGTATCTGAATCAGCCCATTTCACTGAGGAGATTTATGCTTTTAATGCGAAATAAGCATTGTGGTTTTTCCGTATGTTAATGAGGATTTCAGGGGCTTTAACCTGAGGGCGTTACATTCTACATTAAAAACTATATATAAACTTAAACCAGCCTAAATACATTTAAATTTGAACATAGGCCAACCAAACTTAAATGGATTTAGCAGGTTATTACCACACCAGAATAACATTCCTGGTAACTTTTGATTTCATATTGGGCTTTATACGTACCATCTTTTGTCCCATTTCACTGTGTGTATTGATAATTGTTGAGACCAGCATTTAGAAAAACAAATAAAATGTTAGTAAATAAAATAAAATAGTTAACTGAATGAAAAATCCTATGAATGCATATTGTGGTGTCTCGTTGTGCATTAAATCCTGGCTCCTCCAGCTCTGATCACATGAACTGACTCTTCAGCCTTTACCACTAAAAGCAAGAAGAAAATGGAGCGCGTGCACCTGTGCGTGTGCGTCCAATCAAAGGCTCGTGCCGCTGTCCACCGCACGAGTGCTGAAGACTGCTGCCACTCCGCACGGCAAACAAAATACATACGGGACAAACATCTGAACAGTGCTCTCTTTAATGAAAAGAAACTTTGAGTGAGAAGCACTTTGTTCCAGCACCGTGTAGAAGTTACCTACAGAGCGCGAGCTGATGGACGCGAGCTTCGGACAGGTGCCACTCACCGTGACGCACAGTAAGTAATGACGTTTCTTATTCAATTAAAGTTAGGAGGCGCCGCCAGCGCGTGCCCAGCGCCAGTAAACGACACCTGAATGATGCTGTGTGTGTGTCTTGTGTGTGTGTGTGTGTGTGTGTGTGTGTGTGTGTGTGTCATGGCTTTTTTTTTTTTTTTTTCATTGGCGTTTCTTTGATCCGCTCCGGTGCTCAGGGCACGGCGGGGTGAACCAGCTCGGCGGTGTCTTCATTAACGGGCGTCCGTTACCGCACGTGGTGAGACAGCGCATCGTGGAGCTCGCTCAACGGGGCGTGCGTCCCTGCGAGATCTCCCGCCGTCTGCGCGTGAGTCACGGCTGTGTCAGCAAAATACTGGCCAGGTAAAGTGAATACAAGCCTGTTTGTTGATTTATTCATTCATAGTGCAGAGTTATCCGCAATGAAGCAGATTTTGGGTGCAGTAATAATAATAATAATAATAGTAATAATAATAATAATAATAATAATAATAAACTTTGTTAGTAGTTGTATAGCTTTACAGAACAAAGTTACAGTGTTACAAAGTTGACATATGAGAACCACCAGCATGGTCATAGGTCATTTGGGATAGATAATGATATATAGATATAATTATAACATATATAATATATAGATAAAAACTGCCAACTTTCATGTAAATAATGCATTATATTTATTTTCATGTTCACTATCCATGTGTATACTAATACACATCCCTTTTAATATATGTGTGGTCCCAGGAAGCATTATTCTGAAATTAATTTATTTTTAATATAAATTAATCTCAAGATGTGGTTTTCTTGTTGATGATGTGTGCTGCTTTTTCTCCTTTTATTCCAACATAAATAGATACTACATAAATCACTTCAGCATCTATATTTAACAAACCTTCTCCGCAGGTAAAATGCTAAAACCCTCCTGACAGATATTGTAAATTCAGGTATAATGAGACGGGAAGCATCAGACCGGGAGTGATTGGAGGCTCTAAGCCTAAAGTGGCCACTCCCAGAGTCGTGCAAATGATCCTGCATCTGAAACACACCAACCCCACCATGTTCGCTTGGGAGATCCGAGACAGACTGCTGCTGGAGCGAGTGTGCGACCACGACAGCGTGCCCAGCATCAGCTCAATCAACAGGTATGAATAAGTCTCATGTGTATGTATGTGCTTGACAACACAGATCAATAAAGTAGGTGTTGAGTGAGTTCTGTCTCTATAGGATCATCAGAAACAAAGTCCAGTCGGGGTCTTGTGACGTTGGTAAGTTTTTCTTTCCCTTCTGCTCTTCTCTTGATCTTTTTGTCTTTCTCTGTTGTTTCCTGACACTGACCTCTGCCCCCCTGCAGTGTCATCAGCATCACATGTTGCCATGGAAACAGCCTATCCCTCCGAGTCCACCTACTCCATCAGTGGAATTCTGGGAATCAGGAAATGCAGCAGCAAACGTAAGGAAGGTAATGTGGTCTGTGGATGTGATCAGTGTATTTGTGTGTGTATATGAGTATATTTGCTTCTGCTTAATAGGCCTTTGTTTTTTTACATTTTGACATATCACAGTAGGAAAAGCATGTGTGTAAATAATGAAAAATTAATGACGAATAAGCTGAATTCCATTTAGCTAACTTTGTAATTAAACAGATCTTTACTTTAATTAAATGCAGTTACAAGCTCTACCTCGATTACCCACTACAGGTACAGTATATACAGTACTTCATAGTGCACAGTTTCTGTAGTTGGGATAAAATAAATCAATGTCCTTTATACTTTCATATAGGAATATTACAAAATGCTAATGGTTGTTAGTCTAATTGCAAGTTCACTGCTACTGTCTGTTTCATATTTGAAACTAAACAAAGATTTTTTTCCAAAAGGGATTTTGGAGGGTAAAATAATGTCCCCAGAACTTAATTCAGACACTGGTCCCTGCAATGGAAACACAGAGTTTTCCCTAAGGTTCCTAGTCCCTGGTTCCTGCAGTGAAAACATGGGTAAAGTTGTGCACAAAGTTTTCTCGGTGTGGGAATCTATGGGTTAATAGAAATGTGACTTCACAGGCTAGCTGTGATGAATGATTGCTCCTAAATTTAACAGAAAAGCTATGGATGAAGTCAGTGATTGTACATCCACATTTTTCAGTTTCATTGTTTTCAGGAATTTTCTTTCAGAGGAAAATCACCTGACTCAACAAATATATCAAGGAAATGACTGAAACAAGCTAAGAAACAATAAATGCTCAACTGGAAACCTCTATTCCTGTGTTTTAAAGACAAAATGTAAGACTCCAGACTGGATTGAACATGTGTAGATTTGCCGACACAGAGATTACAGTGGATTCTCTGAGGCACCAGACCAACACAGCAGACTGATGAGTAAAGCCAGTGGTCCTGTGTTAATATTACTCTGGCTGAAACAACCTCAACAGCAGGAGATCCACCTCACCACCCCAGGCTTCTGTCCTCTCATCCAGCAGGCTCTCTGCTCCTCCTTGCCTCCCCCTCACCTCAGTCTCTCATTACAGGCCCACTTACACCTCCACCACTCCATCACTGCAACCATTAGAATAGGAGATTGCATAAAGAAATATGCATACTTACATCTGGGAGCACACACATGCATGTATTTTGTCATTCTACTAATTAGAACAAGTGACGATTGCAGTGAGGAGGATTGAGGTAGATAAAAGTGAACCTATGACAGGAGCTATTTTGTTTTCCAGAAGGAGAATTCTCCTGCAGTGACTACTACGACCAGCCGTGTTCCTGTAATGACGCCTGGGGATGGTCTGACCCCTGCCTGACCTCTTTTTCCAGCCTCACCTTTTACCCCGGCCTGCCAGCTAATCATGATCCAGACCTCTTAGGTCAGTCCGCGTCAAAATATGATCACTTATATCTGATATGAGTTCAGCTTTAATGTGTTTCTCAAAGGGTTTTCTCTCATCTGTCCTCTTGTTTAGGGCCTCCGTGTCATTACAGCTGAACTAGGCTGCAAAACACCTCAGAAGAAAGAACATCATCCTCTCAGTGCCAAAAACAGGATTTCATATTGACTGAAATTGTGATTATTACAACATGACTGCCATCAAGACAGAAACCTTAATCAGTTACCAACATGTTTAAATAAAACTGAAAAGACATATGCCCTTTTGTGGTTTATTTACATAATGTGGAGTCAAAGAGCACGCACATGCTGTTGTTTCAGAGGCTTAACAGAGCTTCATCAGTCCAACATATTGTTTCCCATCGCTGTCACCCCTGTGGCCATGTTCTCCTCAGTCAGTGGTTGAGGGGGAGCATCATTAGGGCCCCTGTGATGGAGAACAGTGGCTGTTTTCTCTCCTTAGTGCGCATCTCCCTGTCCTCCCCTCCAGCATGAGGGATTAAAGGAGGAGACGGGAGATGCCAGAGGGACTGGCAGGGTCAAAGAACACCGCTGAGAAAGACATCTGTGGCCAGCAGTGTGTCGCATCAGTCTATAGGAGACATGTAGCGAGCAGACACATGGTGGCAAGTGTTTTACAAGCACATGCAGATGCCAACAAACATAGCATAGGCACACATATTGTACATCTACAACTACTTATACAGGAGACTGTTGGGGATGTTTTGCTATATATATGTTCTATGATCTTCAATCTGTGTGTTTGTAATTCAAAGAGCAAAACAGCACTGACTCAGAACTACGACTTGGTATCACACATGTTCGACTTATAGAGTAAAAATGTATTACTTAGTCAGCGTTAATTACTCATTATTTTTTATTTTCATCATTCTTTATTTTTATCAGAATTTTTCTCTTCCTGGTAAGAACATATAGATTCTATAATTGTGTGATCATTCAATTTTGATTCAAATAATTAAAATATTGACTTGGTATTTCTTTTTTTATTATTATGATCCCTCATCAAATTTCCTTTCTTCTCCTGGCATTAATGGGCTTCCATATATGTAAGAGGTTAAAAGCTTTCAACTCTTTTGAAAAATCTGGAGTCAAATCAGTTTTACCTCTGAAGCCCAAAATCCTCCAATGTTTCTCAGAGGGCTTTACAATTGTTACAACATACCTATCATAACATAACCTTAGACTCTCAGTGTGAGTAAGAAAAAAACTATGATGGGAAAGAGAGAGAAAAATTCAAGTAGAACAACAGGCAAAGGTTGGTGGTATGATGGTATGCGAAGGCAAACTCATAAAAATAAGGTTTTACTGTATATTGGCACACACCCTAAATAGAGCAGGGCCGTTGTTAATATCATCTGTTCCACCAGTTCTTCTCCTGCTGAACATCACTAGTATGTAGTAGACTCTTGCATCAGTAGGGGGCAGCAGTTGACAGTACTTTGCTTGGTCACAAGCAATAATATCAGCAAGTTTGTATTTCCAAGCTGCAACTCATTAAAACGGCTCCTTAAAACAAGATATTTGACTTGAACTGGCTGCTCACCATCCAGCAATCTCCCAATAATGAGTTGTTTTCCGACATAAGTTCGGTGCAGCCAATTCTCCAGTGGACATTATGAGACAAGCTGTTGCTAGGAGAATAGTGACAAAGCCAGACAACCCAACAGGGAGCTCTTATTTTTGGTCTAGACAACAAAAGCAACAGGGACCCGACCAAAGATATACCAGGCTGTGTTCCATGATATAACATGAGCCAGGACTACAGGTGTCTTCAAATGCAACAGAAACAGGTAAACCATGAAAACATGTATCCCTGGGTTGTGTTGGTTAAGCTTTATCAGCCATTTCTCCTAATGTTTTTCATCCTCACCCAGGTTTCAGCCTCCTGACATAATCATGGTTGTTTTTTCTAAATGACATAGGCAGTCAAAACCATTTAAAGTTGTTTAATTACCCAGTGTATTTTATTATTTTATGTGGCTACAGTATTTCATTAAATTAATTATGCATTGATGGGGACAACTGGGTGTGCAGTGGGTGTGGACTGCAAGGTATCATTACTGAGCAAATATTTCATGTGCTGAGTCATTCCTCCACACAGGTATGGACACTGTTAAAGGAAGAGGACACATTTAAATCTAAACTTTACATGTAAAAACTTGCTGTCAACTATTTTTATTGAGAACTATTTTGTAAAACAGGCTGATATGTTGGTTAACTTCAGTTAAACATCAAAACCTTTGGACACAGATGATATTAGATATTATCACAAACATTAAAAGAGAAAAAAAGACATATTGCAAATCCAGTTTTGTATTCCATGTGTTTATATTTAATACCTTTGTAGAAATGTTTTATGTTTTATTATATTATTATTGAAGGTGAACTGACAATCAAAGCACTCATAAATAAAGACTTAATGTTGAGCTCTGAGTTTGCACTGGAGCAGCAGCTGGGAGGTGCAGCTCTGCCTCTGCCAGCCTGCAGTCACTTTCACTTTCCCAGCCCTGTTGGCACACAGAGGATAAACTTGCTCAGTCTCTACTGGGCAGTCCATGGCAGTAACAATGTGCAGCCACCGTCCAGCCTGCTGTCTCCACGACCTGAGGGGCTCCGATGATGCTGATGATGATGATGATTTCCGTCCACAGTGTCCATCACCCAGAAGCTGTGTTGAGTTCAAACACTACCGCCGTCTAGCTCACATCATTACCATCTGCAGGGAGGGCGAGCAGGCAGCAGAGGGAGACTTCTTTTTACCTTTTTCACAGGTAAGATGAATTAAAGTCTCCTGCTGCTGCTATTATTACTACTACTGTTTATTAATCCACTGTGGCTGCTTTGTGCAGTTGTTTGTAGACAGTATAATGTGTTATGCTGGTGGTGTTGCAACTAACAATTAACCATTAATGATGAAATTATCACAACAGGCCTTTTGGTGGCAACTGTTACCACTAAAGAGTCTACTGAAACTACTGGGGTTATAACACATGTACTGTTACTAATATCAGTGTAATGTTACAGTTGCTATAGGCTACAATATTAGTAGTACTACAGCTACTATGAATGCACTATAGATATACTCCAGTTTCACAAGGATTTTAATAATAATACAAATAATAAACGTTTAAAATAAAATAATAAAATAAAAAACAAATCTATTAAAGGCAAATTTAAAGTTTTGAGGTTGTTTTTAAAAGTTTCATTGCATAATAAAGTCAGTAGTTTTGTGTCAGTATTAGTTTATAGTATGTGACAAAGCAAGTAGACAGTAGACTAATAAAAAAGTTAGATATCATTGAATACACATGCACACACAGGCTCGAGTTATACATACATACATTTATATAACAGTATTTAATTAATCTTTTAATTATCTTACAAGCTGTCTATGTGATTAAATTAATGATGTTATTATTAATTAAATATAATCTTTTAGCATTATTGGACCATGGGTATTACTTAACAATAGGTGTGAAAATATACATTGAAGTGATTTACATGTCTCTTTGTATAAATGCACTGTAGGTTGGACTACAGAGAAGCAACAGGCACAGTGGGAAAGGGCTGCGGATGACCTGTGTGATATTTTTCCTTCTGGCATTGACCTTCCTCAGTAAGTGACTAAATTGGATGTTTATCATGAATGTGTGAATGAAAGAAGTTCACAGCAAATCTTTCTTAATGTACTTATCGAGGTGTTCAGTGTGCATGAAAAAGAGTAATGCAAAAAGTTAGTGAAAGTGGCCGTTTATTATAGAAATATAGGAATTAATAGTTATATGCCCATGTGCTGGTGCAAGTACACAAGTAGAAATATAAAGACAACAATGTAAACTCCATAAGTAAAAGTCATTAATTTCAAATCCTATTAAAATAAAAGTATCAGCTGAATTTAATTAAACTGTGATAAGTAAAAGTACTCATTCTGCATAAAAGTAGCCCAGAGACTAATATACTATTAGATATATTTATTAGATTGTTAATACTGATGCACTAATGCTTATGCAGCATTTAACTGTTGTAGCTGCAATTACTTTATATAGTTTTGTTTCCCTAAACTAACCCTAACCCTAGACTTTAGTTTTTTTAGTTTTCATTAATTTAGGCTTTTTGAGTTTTAGCTCTAAGAGCCTAGGACATTTATTTAAATTAAACCATCTGAGGAGCTTGGTGGTTCTTTGGTGGAACTGATAACAACTGATGGTCACAAGACAAACAGGTTGGAAAGCCTTCTCTACATACGTATATGTATTTTTTATAGTTTTATAAATCTTAATTTGTAATGTTAACTTAAGATGATTATAACTACTTATGAGTGTTTTTCTCTTTTTCTTACTAAAGTGGGATTAGTTGGAAAGGATGACACTGATGTACAAGACTATGTAAGTCCACATAAACCCAAACACTCTGTTAAACACTCACAACTTTCTAAAACAAGACAGAAGGACTTTCTCTGCATCTCTTTCTGTGTATTTTAGGATGCGGACATCTTTCTTCCAACCAAAGCGTTGTGGTTGTTTGGATGTCTGCTGTTGTGGACTGTTTGGTTGCTCCTGCGCCTTCTCCAGATGTTCCTGTGGTTGATCAAAGGGCTGCTGTGGTTTATCTCCATCTCTGTGTCCCCACTGTGTCACTGTTTGACGCTCCTTCTGTCCTGTCTTCTACTGCTGCTGCATTACATGTGCGATGCAGTGTTTTTTGCAACCACCAGTCCTGTGTTTGTTTATAGCATGCTTCTCAGTGTTGGCGTTTCATATCTCATTTTCACCAGGTGAGAGCCAAACATACAAAGATTTCCCATGTGAAATAGATCATTTACATAGAAAAATAGAATAAATTAAAATGTAAAATCTCAGATATGATCAATAAGCTTTAAACCTGAGACTATTGCAGTTTTCCTCTTACGAATGAACGTTGGATTTATAGGCAATAAAACACACCCTTGCTCAGTTGAATACACTCAGGAGTTTTGTAGCTATACCCCCACATGATCTGGTATGACCAGCTAGCTTATGGTGGCTAATGTATTTGTTGCAATGTAACAGATATTGCTGAGACAGTTTGCCAACTTTATGACTTTTCCCTTCTTGTGCTACTGTTAAACCAGGTTTTAACATTTAACATAATTGTCATTGTTGACCACAATGGCTGCCATTCAGCAAAAGTTACATTGTCTCACTTTAAAATAGAGGAATATTAACCAGTGAATTAATCAGGAGTTTAAAATATAACATTTTATAAAGACATACATACTGTACCTATGAATGTTTAGAGTGAGAGTTTACAATTCATATTTAAAGTTTTATATACTGTATTAAGACTTAGTATGCGTGTATTAATGTAACAATTCATTTATTTTATTTATTCAAACTTGATAATGTCTAATGTATTATTGGTGGGTTTTTTTGCATGTAGTAATTTAATGTGTTGATTTATGATAGCACGAATGATAACATACATCTATAATAAAAACCAAATGTCTTTGATATAATAATGAATATCCAATTTAATGATATTTAATGACGCCATTAAAAATCCTAAACTCTCACGTGAGAAATCTGAATTCAAGTTGACAAAAACACTTTTTTAGAGCTATCTCACTCTATGGGAAATCTGAAATAATCAATCTTGACAATTTTCACTTAAGAGTGTGCACATGCAGATGTGTGACCTTTAGCTTGGCACTCTATGTGTTAAATGTGAAATAGTTTATCTGTAAGTGTTTCACATTAAGTGTGGAGACACATGTTTGTATGCTTCATTGCTTGTGTGTGGGGATATAAATCTTTGTACCCAGGTTCAAAGTACAAAAGTGGACTTTTATTTGGGATATTTTGTGCTAACTACTTCCTTCTTTATAAATCACTGCAGCACTTCCTCATTCTCAGAGTCGAAAATGCACTCGACTGAAGGAAAAGGGGGGAGAATATCTTATCAGTGCAGGTTTATAGATCAATAATCATATGAGGGAAGACTCGAGGAGAATTTATTAGTGCTTTCAGAGTTGAGCGAAGAAACAACAAGGAACAAAACCTTCTCAGGACCCAGCTGAACTGTTTATTCAACGTCAATGACTTCACTGCTGGACAAACAGAAGTGAAGCGAACCAAAGCTGAACCAAACCAAGCCAGAAGAAACACACAGACTTGACCGAGTGTTGGAAGATGTCTGTGCACCCCAGAGTCGTCTACAAGAGGAGGGAGACTATCACAGCTCTACCACTCTATTACTCTGGAGACCTGCTGAAGAAACAAAGCAAAGAGAAGGTGAGGACAAAGTCGGAAAAGATAGACTGTAAATGTGTCTATGTAACATAAAAAGAAGGGACTAAATGTGTAATAAATGCTGTTTGACATTTCGGTATAAGGCTTTGAGACTGTATTAAATTATGTTAAATCTGTGAATGTGAAAGCTGTGTCAAGAGCAGACATTCAAAGTGACAGTTATGATTTGCAGGATTTTAAGAAATACTATGGAGAGCTGCGGGGAGCCACACTCTTTCTGTACAAGGATGACACACAGGATACGGTAAGCCGTTTGATTTGCTCATTCACCTTAAGTTTTCTTAGTAACAGCAAACCTTTTACATGATTATTTGAACAGTGAATTTAACATTTGTTTCCCTTAGAATGTGTGTACAATGTAAAGTCTTTTAAACAAAGGCAACACTGTTGAAAAGTTATAAGAAAACAGGTGAAAGAGACATAAAGGTCACCCTTTGGATAAATGAATACATGATGTACTGATCAAGAATTTGTCTGATAATACATAATAATACTAATTTATTTATTTGTTTGGTCAGTACACAGAGAAGCTGGACCTTGAGCAGCTGAAGTCCATGGAGTTAGATTCTCCAAATCAGAGGAAGTCAGCAACTATCTTCAATCTCACGCTGCACACAGACGATGTGCAGCTAAAGGTGTGTGGTGGTAAAATCTGACTGATTTTTCTCTCTTTTATTTTTTTTTTGTCATCATCACATAACCAAAATGTTTGTGTGACTGTACAGCTGGACAATCCTGACACAGGAGAGGAGTGGAAGGGTTACATCCTGACTGTAATCAAAGTTAGTAAACCAAACACACACACACAAACACACGTATATATGTGTATATATAGGCTTACCGACACACTCTGATGATTGATGTGGGAGTCGGTGTAATACACCGTACTGAATATTGCTCAGCACTTGTAAAAAAAGAAACAATAACAGACCCTTAATGTCTGAGCTCAAACCCAAGCCCTATTTAACACACATGGGAACAAAGAAAGCAAACAGTGGGAAACAAGTATTTCCTGGTTAATAATTAAGCAATAATTTGGCTCAAGATGTTTGTATTGGGCCAAATTCCCCTTAAGACAGATATGGAAAATGGTAATGACAGTAAGGTTACAAACAAGGAAACAGGGATATGTGCAAACTGAAAATAATTGCCTTTATTTTCATTGTGTGGTTACAATTTCATTGAGTGTTTTTAATGTTACACCTAAACTCAAATTGGATGTCACATGTCACATAGACCATACACATACACAAATTGGTGGCATTAGTAACAATGAGTAAAACAACGCTGACACTGAGCTCTGTTTCCCCCGTAGAAAGAGATTCCCAATAAGATGCAGCTGCTGCCTGGCCAGCTGTTGCAGCTGCAGGAGGTTCTGGCTCAGGAGAAGAGAAGAAATCCCCCCACGCCACGGCCACCCCTCCCACCCCGACCGTCTTTCCTAGCCTCACCCTCAGCCTCAGCCTCACCTTCCCCTCCTAAAGCCAACCCTGAGGTTCCTGCGTAAGTTACTTTCTGTCTCCAGAAATCTTCCTGAAGCACTTCCTGCTATGTCTGTCTTCCTAACATCCCATTCAGCAATATTACGTGGTTTTTAGGTCACTGATAACAGTGAAGTCTGTCCTGCTATCCTAAAGCTATAAATACATTGTGTGCGCCTCATACTCTGCCCTCCGAAACAGCATACTTGCACCTTTATTACCTTCACAGGCAATGAGGAAGTATTTTAATTTTTTTGCTTTGATTCCTTCAGGTGTTTCTTCAATGTGAATCGGCAGGAGGCCGAGCGGATGTTGGAAGCAAATCCTGAGTATGGAAGCATGATCCTCCGCCCGTCCACCCTGGCCAACAACTACGCCCTGACACTCAGACAACTGATGCCCAGGTCTGACAATCCAGCTCCACCTCTGAATGCACCACTGACTACAGGAGATTATATTTACAAGACTCGTTTCAAGTCCTAGTAGTAAATATCAGATTTTCTTTCCTCGTCTGACAGGACACTTTTGGTATCAGTCATTCATCACATAAATATGAACCCTTGGTTTTATAGTTTTTCTTTGACATCAGCGCTGTGTTGTATATTATGCTCTTGTGAGTCATCTGACACATGCCGGTACAGGCTAGAGTCCACCAAGAAATGATTATCATGACAATCACTAACCATGAAGTGCTTTGGTTGAGAAAGGGATGAACATATGGATTTATTTTGTCATTCCAGTATTTTTATAGAAACTTTTATTCACAGTTCCCATGCCCAGTCAGCAGTAAGCAAATAATCCTCCTCTTGCTTGTGTTTCAGTGGGCCCGTCATGAAGAACTACAGAGTGACCTCCATAAACACTGGGTTCGTCATTGAACTGGACACAGCAGTAAGTCCCATTGAAAGAAAATATGAATGTGACTAGTCCTGTAAAATTATACAGATTTAAGTTATTTATATTGTAGGTTGGATACCTTGATCACTAACATTCAAACAGTCAGGTGTGCAGTGTTCAATTGCCACAGTATAAAAAACCTCAACATATGCCAATAGAAATCATCTAAATCGTCATTAAACATTATTAAACCAAGTCCTTCTCTTTGCTTTTCTCCCTGCGTTCTCTCCTCTGTAGGTGACGGTGTCCTCCTTGAACGATGTACTTAAATACTTCATTGAAAAGACAGAGTACCGTCTTCATCCCTACATGTCGTCCCAGCCCTACGACACTTGCATCGGTGAGAGGAACACTGCTTTTAGAAATAGTCTCAGTGACAAGTGCAAGCACACAACTCTTTAATAATGTTTGTGTGTGTGTTCAACAGACGCGTCACCTGCTCCAAAGTGCATCAGCATCACCTCACCTACACCTAAAACAGTACCCAAGGCACAAGTGGCACCTATGCTGCGGTCAAAAACCAAAGACGAGCTCCTGCCCCCTCCAACCAAGCCAGAGGAGAGCGAATATGTCGTTCCTGACGCTCATGATGATCACCAACTAAAGCTAGGTGAGAATGAGCGTGGTGTTATCAGAGCTGCTTCAGACTTGTGTCTGTATGAGTGAGTAAAGTCGGTCTAAAAAGAGTGGTCATTTGTATTTTTTTGTCTAAACTAGGACAATTGGACGGAGAGCTTCGTGAAGTTTTAAAATTACGGAGGGAAATCATCTACTCTGCAGCTGACGAGGACGAAGCCTATGAGAATCAAACCAGTAAAAAATCCCACTCAAGCGCAGCACAGTGGGCCACAAAGACTGCAGAGTGAGGTGTGTATTCTTGTTGGCTTCACAAGAACGTCACAAGTCTGTTAGTGTTTAACTTTTAACTTAAACATTAGCTGAGAGATTGCATGCTCCTCTGTGGATGTGACAACATTCCTCCACCTTTAATGGAAATCTTTCACAAATGCACTCAACAAAGTTTTAAAATGTGTGCCGGTTAAATTTAAATGGAAGTTTTCAGTTTCTTAAAATAGGACACTCTAACTGAAAATTAGGCTTTAATTATTTTGCTGGAAAAACTAAATTATAAATATTTATATGCATATCAAAAATGTGCTTGAAACTGCCTGTGTTTATGGTGACAAGTTGCAAAGTTCTGTACAGCTTGCTCAGTCTAGCAGCTCTGAGGCTGCATAATTAGGAGGAGAAGTGGAGGTAAACAGGGTAATGCTAACACGCTGTATACAATGTTCACCATATTAGTTTACCGTGTCAGCATGCTCACATTAGCTGATTAGCTAACTCTGTGCCGTAGACTGTATAATAAATAGTGGACGAAGCTAAATGCCTTAAACATGCATTTTTTTCTGATGACCAACAGGGGGCGACTGTGCTTTAGGATGAGGCGTGATTGATAAGTCGTGTGTCCTTGGGTTCTCAGTCCAATCAGGTTAGAGGCATAGGAATGCATGTCCTCCTCAGGTCCACATCTCATCCAAACATGGTCACTTCTGGCTCCAAAAAACCAAGATGAGGCCTCAAAACGGTGGTGACATCATGGTGGATTTAAACTTACTCTAAACACAATATCAGCAGAGGCTGATGGGAAAGTCATTACATTATGTTTGGTCAGACCAACACTCTGGACAATATAAACATTTGACCCTGATGATGGATGAAAAGTGATCAAAACACTTACAGTTCATCCTTTGGGGGGCGTGAATGTCAGAACTAAATGTCTTGGCAAACCATCCAATAGTTGTCAAGATAATACAATAAAAAAAACATACATTTCAACATCATGGCGGCACTAAACTCACCAAAGTGATGGACAGACGTACCTTAAAGACAATTTTTATAATCCAACTTGGCTGCATTAACAGAAAATAAGCAATTAATTAAAAGAAAGGTGAAAATTATCCATTTGTCAGTGAAAATTTGTAAAAGATTGAATACATTGTCTCATGGCCAGTCTTGCTGAAACCCTTTCCATTTGGATGTACAACAGTTTCACATTACACTGTAACATTAAAGGTCCAGTGTGTTCAAAAGTTTAATGTAATATTCATTAATATGTTTTCATTAGTGTATAATCACCTGAATATAAGAATTGTTGTATTTTCGTTACCTTAGAATGAGCCATTTTTATCTACAGAGGGAGCGGGTCTTCCTCTATGGAGTCTGCCATGTTGAACTGCCATGTTTCTACAGTAGCCCAGAATGGACAAACCAAACACCTTAGGTCTTCCTTTGCACTTCGAGTCACAGGGTTTCAAATGGTTGCAATCTGCAACTTTACCACTAGATGCCACTAAATCCTACAAACTGGCCCTTTAACACATAATATTATTCTAGATATATTATCTTCTTCATGAGAGGTTGTTTACAAATCACTGCATTAAGCTGTAAGTTTAATCCTACAAAAGTTAGAAAACGTTTGTGTCTAAATGAGGAAAATAAATGCTGAAGAGCTCTTAGATACAACTTTATGACACAGGTTTTAAATATAATTTCAACTTTGTGTGGAACTAATGAGTATTTTCTCATCGATCAGTCTATGGCGGTATTGAAAAACATCCATCCAGAATCCATCACAATTGCCCAAAGACCAAAGTGTCGCTTTCAAATAGCCATTATCTCAACTTAATTTATCTCAACTTTTTCTCAGAAAACAAAAGGCAGATTTCTCCAGATCAGTAATGACTTCTTTTCTCAGGATCACAGGATGTTTATAGAAAACTTGAAAATGAGTGTCTGGTTCATTAATCACTCAAGATCATGGTGATGTTGGAGAGGATTCATACCTGAACTGAAAACAGTTCATTTAAGCTATTACTGGTAATTTCCTGGTAATGTGATGCAATTCTGACAAAAGATTTATTAAATGAGCTCAAAGATCCCTGCAAATGTCCAGGTTCTCTTTATGCATTTTTCATAGTTGCTAGCTCATTTTAGTCAGTATGAAAATGAATATTAGCGGGCAAGTTGCTCATCATTCCTCAACGCATTGTCCATTATGTTAAACCAATGCTACATCAATAATACGCCATCTATGCATGCTGACATGGCTCTATTGATCTCTGATAAACATTAGAAGCAATGAGGAAACAAGCTTTTGTTTACTTGTGATAATGGGTTAAGTATCTCGTCTCGAGATAAGAAAGCTCATTTTCGTGAGATAACAACCGATAACACCGTTAAATGGATGTTTATTGTCTCAGATGCTCAGGTGCTTTCTATTTCTATTTCTGCTCATAAATTGTGGTTTAAAAAGTGAAACTGCACAAGCTAATTACTGTACAGGTCAAAATCATTGTCCATTTTTGATACGAAAGAATTATCAAAGTGTAAAATACAAAGCTACACATACATGGCAGTCTTACGTTTGTTCCTTTGTTCAAAAGCATTTAATAGAAAACGTTACTATAATCCAGGATGATCATTATTCTTTATTTTTCACACATAGGAGTAAGCCAACATAAATGTTTCAAATGTTATAATCATGTTTTTAGTTTTATTTTAAATATTTTTAATAATTTTAAGTTATTCCATTAAGATTGTATTTTCATATTTTTCATCATTATCATGGATCATGTTATAGGTTTAAAGTTTAAGGATCATTCATCACTCAATAAAAGACAGCAACACTGTGAAAAATATTCAATAAAAAAAAAGAACAAAGACTCCCTTTTGTCTCCTCCTTCACTGTAGTGTTTCAGACTACCTCTTTCCACCTCTTCTTACTCATCCCTCCCACCTGTTTCACTCACACTTCTTATATTCTGGTCATTTACACTCTGTTGTAGCAGCCTTCGTGTGAGAAAGACAAATAAAATATCTTTAATAACTTAACATCTCAGCATTTAAAAAATAAAAATAAAACTGAATAAATTAAGAGGATTGTTCCCCAATGAAGAACACCGCTCCACTGCTGTAGTGACATTACTTCTCGGTGAGTGACAGCTGCAGGATCCTCTCCAGCTCCTCCTCTTCCTCCTTCTGCTGCCTACCGACAAAAATAAGAAATAAAGCAAATCAGAACAATGACAGCCCTGTGAATGTTAAATTATTACTTCTATAAATATATTACTATTTTCCCACAACTGCAGATAATGTTTCTAATTATTTTCTATTTCTTAGATCTTTTGAAAATTGCTCTACAAAGTATGTAACATTTGTGGAAACACAATGCTAACAATACAGAATGGTTTATATTACTGTAATAAGGGCACTTCAATATCAGACGTTAGTATTTAGCTATGATAGCTGCATGGTAGCATCACTGAGGTATCAATGATGATCAATGAAGATAGGCTTTAATAACCAGATACATTAGAACAGATTCAATTGGTTCATGTTAGTATTTATTTCCAGGAAAGGGAGTAGATTTGGGGCAGAGTTCTCCACACTGGCCTATGGCAAAACTGTCTGATAGTTGAAGGGACTTCAAAAGTATTTTTCAAGTTTCCAAAACTTCACAACTGAATGTGACTATTTGCCTCGAGTAGCGGATAATTAGTCAAGGCTGACTGCCACACACACCGCAAATCCCACAAAACTACACAACCTTTATTGTGTATGAATGAGCACAACTAGCAACATGGAACAGACGACAACTCAGAGATTCTTTCCTTAGATGTGGGTGCTGGGAGATTTTGACCCCCCACTGTGTCGCAGACGTTGTTTGTCACCCTACTGTTCCAAAACAGAGTTTGAGATGGAAGAGCAGACTGCAGCACTCCCTGTGTGTGAACACTCAACTGAAAGCAAAACAATCTAAAGAAGAGGAATAGAGGGAGAATTTGGAGAACAGCTGGGCAGAAGCCGGCAAGTTTTGTAAAAGCTCACACAACGCGGTCCACTCAAAACCACTTTCTGGGTCACTCAAACCAGCGTGTTGATGAGCATGCGGGTTTTGTCTCAGGTAAGCTAATGTACGTCAGATAGCCTCCTCTTTGTTTTCCTCCCGCCTCACCTGTCTATCTCCTCCTGCTCCCGGCACGACAGCTCCATGGCGATACGCAGTTGCTCATCGAAACTCGACGCCACACCAAAGTGTCCCGACAGCCGTGGATCGGTCACTGTGCTGTAAGAGAGCGGGGAATTGGCGGTGGGGTCCAGCGGGGAGACAGAGGAGGGCTGGCTGGGGTCAGCCGTGTCTTCTCCCTCTCTGCTGGCCAGCGAGATGGACAGGGACTCCTGGATTGCCCTGAGAAAACAACAAAATAAGCATGTTAAGACTTAAATTTAAATATTATAAAACAAAGAACAGTATCTTAACAGGTGAGTTTCACTGCTGGGCTTCATTACAGGATGACTGGGAGTTGCTGTTCCCATGAGAAGGTGGAGAGGAAAAGCTAATCACTGAATACTATTTAGAGATGTTTAATTAAATTACTTCAGAAGCAAGGGTTTCCCTTAATAAGAAAGAATTATGAACAGGCATGAATAGTTAAACATCATGTTTTACAGTAACAATACAAATGCTAAAGGCTACGCAAAGATAAACTAAGCTCACTGGATGGCAGCCTCAAGCGCTGCTAAATTTATTTTTGTTTTGTTCATTAAGTACAAAATCTAGGAGGCTTAAAATAATCAGAAACAATAGAGGTAAAGTCTGAAGGGCCAGCTCACCTCTCCAGCTGAGAGTCCTCCTCGTACAGTGGACTCGGGGGCACCGGGCGGCTGTTGGTCAGGGCCTCCCAGATAGTCACCTAAAAACAATACTCAAGTGTTACAACTGGCTTTAGAAGCACAAGAATCAGCACAAGAAACCAGCTTCAGTTAGCTTTAAAAAGATGAATTGTGGCACAAATTCTAAAAATGTTCAGGGATAAAGAAGAAAAGCAAGAACCAATTATAGCATATTCTGTCAGGGACAAACAGTCCAGATAAAGTCACACAGACATATTTTGATATTTTGTTCTGACATGTCACCTGGGTCACTGCAATGAGTCCAAAAGAAAGAGTGAAATTCATCTGTTTTACTAGTTTAGTCAGAATGCAATGAACCAGCCACTAAACTCAAGAGGCGTTACACTGCAGAAGAGGACACGTAGCTCTGACCTGGTCACTCTCTGTGCCGGCGTCCAGCAGGCTCTGCTGGATGGCAAACTGCAGCAGGTTGTCGTCCTCGTCCCTCATTGGCTCGCTGCGGCCTGGACCAAGGGTGGTGTAGTCTGCCGGGGGTTCAAACACTGAGGGGTCCACCTCACAGTTGAAGGGACTGAAAGACTGACCTACAAGTAAAGGGTATAACGTGAAAAAAAAATGGAATCCTGTGTTTTGGAAACAACTATCTGCCTTATATTTTCAGAAACTTCCTTTATTCTCAAACCAAAACAACTAATTATAAAGCCATATTATAATTCCAATATTCTGCACTGGGATAGAAGACTCACTCTTCAGAAGCAGCTGATATTTGAATTCTCTGTCACTGAAATGTATCAGGTTTTACCTAATGTCCTTTAATAGAGTTCATAACTAGTGTGAATGAGTGAGTCAGTAGTTACCAGCTTCCTCGGAGCTCTCAGGTTTGTGAACCGTCACAGAGCTGACCGGCTCGTCGCAGCCACACAGGTTACTGAACGTCACTCTGGCGTTCAACACGTGAAACAGGGGAATCTCTGGAATACAAGACAGTGAGTGTTTGAAAGTTATACATGGCTGATTATTCCTGTAGCACCAGTGGGAATATAAGAACATATTGCAAGAATCATGAATGCATGAATGAGGACATCCATCTAGCTACACATAGGAAACGACCCACACTGTGTGACCGCTCATACCCACCTATCTTGACAGGGAAGCCAGGCGGCAGGCGCAGGGTGATGAAGTCACGCAGCTTGGCAAAGTGGGCATTGGAGATGGCCATGAGGTCGATAATGGGTGTCACCTGCTCAGCCAGGGACAACGGGTGACTCTCACTCAACCACAGTGTCGCTTTAAACCTGGAGAGGACGCAAGAAAGACAGACAAAAAAGATGTAGAACCCTAGTTTTGAAAGAATTGGTCTATAAAGAAAGCAATGAAGTGGTGAACTTGTGATTGATGCCATACTTCTGGACTTTGCTGGTGAGCTCGATGGGGCGCCCAATGTCCCGGCCGTTCAGGTTGAACTCTGGGTTGAAGTACTCCTCAGCTGTGATGGCTGTGGGGTTGTGAGGACTGGCACACTGGGACACATTACTCTGACAGAAATACAGAGAGTTATAAGTGACAGTGTTCATCAAAGAAAGCTGTAGGTGGTGTGGGTGGATGTGATACTGTGGAGACTCTTACCCCATTGTGAGCTGTGTGTTGTTCAGCAATCCCCAGGAACGACTGCAGAGGAGTCTTTGAGCCTGAGTGGGAATAATAGAGAGATCATCATCGTCAGCATTCGTCTGCCCCGCAAATTTAATCTATTTTTTGCTCTGGAAGTAAGGCAGGAGATACATCTGGAGCAAAAATAACATAATAATATACAGAGGGGAACATAACTTACATACTGTGATTCAAAAAGAACTACGTAGTGATCGATTGTATTTAGCTTATATCTCATTTTCCACAGTGTGTGTGTGTGTGTGTGTGTGTGTGTGTGTGTGTGTGTGTGTGTGCGTGCGCACACACATTCACCTTTGCTCCTCGACTTATCCTGGTCTGATAGATGCTCTGTCCTCGACCGAGTCACCAGCTCCACATTGGTGGCACTGTAAACCTGAACACAACAATACACAAAAGGAAAGACACCCTTGAACACACATTTTTCTTTTTTAAACTTTGTTTGAGTAAAGCTCCAGTTAACACATTTGTTTGGGTTACAAAAACATTTATTTGGTGTAAACAGAAGAAGGTAATCTGGGGTTTAGTGTAAGGATTAAAAGTGTATCGTTGACAGAGCAAACAGGATACTGTGACTGTGTTTTGTCTGTAACGTCTCAAACTTTAAATTAAAATAATCAAAATTCAAAAATAAAAAGGACAATTCCGGATAAAGTGTGATAAATGTTCAAAAACACCCGACAGACACATGTTTGCGTAAAAAATTATTTAAAACTTTGAAATCCTGTTTGTTTGATAACTCTTGTTTGGTAACTCTCACAGAATATTGAACAAACTTCCAAATGGTCTGAACTATGTTTCAGCTTCTGAAGAACAGTTTGTACTGGGTTGGCTCAGCGGTCACATACCTTGGCCTCGTACCCGCTGACCACCTCACTCTTCTCGGAACGCCAGCCCCAGATTCCCGACTTGTTCCTAACCAAGCAAAGAGATCAAGTAAAGGCCGGGTGAAGGCTACATCGACACATGGCTCACAAACACACAAACAAATCAAGTGTGATTTCGATTAAATGATTCTAGTTTGTATGTATCTGTATGCAGTATGTGCTTGTTACCGTTCAAAGGCAATGTTGCGTGTGTTGAGGTGCGTGGAGACGATGGGCGACGTGATTCTCTGGGCTGTGTTCTCCTGTGATGGCTGCATGGCTGCCAGGAGGGAGGGCGCGTCACGGGGAGACAACACGAGTGGCTCTGTGTACACCACCTGCTTCTCATGGTCCACCTCCATCACCACGGCCCCGTCATCTGAAGAAGAGGAGTACACCGGTTAAAAGGAAAGGTGGAGGACATACCAACCTAAACTAAAAAAAAGGTCCAACCACAGGAATGTCCCTATTAGAGAGTGTATGTGAAGTATGTGAGCACACACACCTCCGCCCTTAAAAATATAGCTGCGCCGTCCTTTCAGCCAGGTCATGTGTTCGAAGCCCAGGAGGGTGGTGTCCACACGGAGGCACGAGCCGCTCTTCCACACCCGGTAGACGTCACTGGGACACACCTTCGACACCAAGGGCACTGAGAGGAAGATTGAAGAGGCATTTTAGAAGTAAAACACAAAGAGGGAACAAGTATGAGGAAGACCAACAGGGAAGGAGTAAAGGACAGAGAAAAAAAATGGAAAGATTAAATGTTTTTGTGGAAAAGTTCTAAATCTGCCCGGCCATATACTTGACAGAAAAAGGTCAAAAGACAAATGACTTGAGAAATGATTAAATTCCAGTACTATACGGCTTTATTAATAAACTGTCTGGGTTTTGTATTTAGTGAAATTAAAGACATCACACTTGTAGCAGTGGCTGACCTTTTAAAATGTTCTCCTCTAATTTATGATGATAACATTTCAATCTGCAAAATGTAATTAACTCTTTATGAGCATCTTCTGTAGATTAGAGAAGGCAAAACAATCCGAACACAGGAAACCACATTACAGAGTAGTCCTGTTAATACTGCACGGCATTGGCCATTTGTGGTGGTTTACATCAAATGTATTCAAATAAACCTGCCCTGTCTTGTGTATAGGCCACTTTCTCTGACTGTCACTGGAGTAAACAGTCTTTTAAAGTCTTCTGAGCGACAGCTGCTGCCAAGGGGGAGCTGTCCAACTACTGTGGTGCTGAAACCGACCTCTGTGAAAACACACTCACCCCAACTAGTGAACTCCCACTTCATCTCCACATAGAAGTCCCGCGCCTGGAAGGGACCAAGGAAAGTTTTTTAACTTGGGCAAAAACAAAATATCTACACCCTTCTTCTGCATCCTGATTGAATCGAGATAGATACTTGCGAACATGCTTTGACCATATTGTACCGTAATGAAAAAGATGCATTAACACAGCGGTCTAAAACTCTTTCTATAAATATTTGCAGAAGCTGTGAGGTGTGGTTGAGGATCAGGGTGTGGCGCTCTGGGCAACAGGTAGAGTTTAATACCTGGAGGCTTAAAGTTTTTTCTCCCAAAAAAAAAAAAAAAAAAATGTAGGCTGTGAAGCAGTTTTACCTGTCTTAGTTTGCTGAGCAGCTCTGGGATGCCCGCCAGTCTCTCAGTGGCACGCTTGAAGTCTCTGTACTGAAGCACCAGCTGAACCAACTCAGGGTCCCCGGTGCTCACCGCCTCCTGCAAGACTGAAATACAAACTCACATTTAACGACAGTGGGCTGCTTCTAGTGTCTTTTATGATTTACTGGGAGCGACAGCGGAGCACTCACTGGTCCAGCCCTGTGTGTTGCAGTGTGTGGGGTTAGAGGAGTGTCTGAGCAGCACCCTGGTTGACTCCAGGTGGCCCAGACACACAGCCAGCTCCAGCGGGGTGCGCCCCCTCGGATCTACGCGCTCCATATCCTGCTGCAGAACCAAAAACACAGAGGCAGCATCAGCGCAATGCAGTGCGACCTCACAAACGCATCTGTCAAAAAAAATAATAAAAAAAATAGAAGAAATCCATCCACCAGCTGCAAATAAACCTCATTACTTACCTCATTCTTCTGCAGCTCTCGATCAAGCTCCAGATACTGATTGTTCCAGACCAGCAAATGCAGAGGAAACGCTTCTTGGGCCATGGTTGTCGTCCGCTTGACAGTTAAACAGTAGTAAAGCTATGTTTGCAGTATGACTTCAGCAGCCAACAGATTGCAGTGACACCACAGCGGACTGATCCGCACAGCTGGTTAGCTAACGTCAGCTAGTTAGCTCAGTTAACAGCAGAGAAATGGTTAAAGCTGAAAGAAAGAAGTGTTTCACTGGAGAAGGAGGGCGAAGAAACCTGTCACTAAGCAAAATCTACCCAAGTGACAAACATTAACTTAGGCAGCAGACGGGCTTTAATAGTATGCGTGCCTATTTAAATTAGTGGGCTGAGTTAGCTCGGCTAACTCAGCCCACTAATTTGATGTAGTTAACTAACAGCTAGCTGAGCTAACGTTAGCTAACTGGCTAATAACAACATTGTTTCCTGCTCCTCTTGGCACCTTGACTCCATTACTCACAATGCAAAGACAACTAATTTAGCCGGCTGAAAAAGCCCCTCCTAAGTCCGTTCATTGTGTCATGATGGATGTGCTCCTGAGTGGAAATAATATGAAACCACCGGCTGATGAAGTTAGCTAACGTTAGCTACCCCCGCTGCTGCTGCTGCAACCATCCCCTGTTTATATCGCAGGGTTGTTACGGTCTGTCAAAATAAAGCGAGATTCGGCCTTTAATCCAGTTTCACATCCAGGTCAGTCGAGTTAGGGCGATCTCACACGATGTTTGGTGACAGCTGCTGCCGATTAACACTCAGTCCTGCCGGGTTGACGATCATTAAACTGGACCACCATCGATACACCTCAACGCAGCTTTGCTGAAGATGAAGTCACTACATTAACAGCTGCAGCAGCGTTGTTTGTTTATTTATTTATTTATTTATTTATTTAGGCGTCGCTTTATTTCCAGGTTATGAGAGAAGCTGGGTGGAGCCAGGATGGAGCTGATATCTGATCCTACTGTGCAAATCCTTGAGAGAGCTTGTATCAATATACCTCCCTGTTTAAATACAGCTTATAATAATAATAATAATAATAATAATAATAATGATAATGATAATAATAAATAAACAATGGCACTAACAGCAATCTAGTGTAACATTTACTTCACCTCAAGAAATAATGTGAGGGTTACCTATTGTTTATAATTTTTTATTTTTCTTGAAAAATAACACAAATAACATAAAGTGAAAAAGGCTTCTGAAAATAATTACAATGCTACAGGATTCCCATTTTGATACTCGAAAAGAGGAAAACACATTTACACAAAAGTATATATATATATATATACACTTTTGTGTATATACTTAGATTCATTTGAAGGGTTATGGCCAGGAGAGCGGTCTGGGAGGAGACCTGTGATACAGAACCACTACACTTTTAAGGGGAACAAAGAAAGGAGCAACCCCTCCCAAACAAAATCATATTTCTCTACACTGAATTGGAGACGGACATGAAAATCTGTGAAGTAGATACTCCGTGACAACAAAAAAAAGTTTATCAAAGAGGGGGCAGGGAGCAGTTTTATCTAGAATATTAACACTTTTGCTCTAAATGTCTCTGTACAAAAACAAAATAAAAGGAGTTTGGAAATAATAGCACCTGAAGTCTAACAGTTGTTTTTAGATGCACCATTTATCTGACACCTAAGCCTTGGCTGACCCCGTACACTTAATGCAACCTGCCCACTGTTGGGGTGAGGTCTTGTTGCCATGTCGATTGCCTTCTCACACTGTCTTTTTTTTTTTACCCTTTTATACACCCACACCCACTCACTGTCCATGTATGCCTATCAAGTACACCACTGGATTACTGTTGCACCCAAGTGCCTTATTGAGCTGAACATACGTCAGGTAAACACAGGCCATTCCAGTCACCCACTTTATAAGTCATAATGTGAAAGATACGTCACCTTTAGTAGTCTTAAAAAAAATTAAAAATCTCAAAGCATAGATGTTCATAAAGCATAAGTCATCAAACAACGTTTGCTCTCTTGAATCTGACAAAAAACAGCGATCTATTTGCAGCAGCCAAACTGAGCTGAAATCAAATGAGTTAAAATTAGTCAGATGATAAATAAGACTTAATGGGGATCAGCCAAACAGAACAATGCAGTTATACCCCAAGGATGAAACTCATAAGTCTTTGCCTATCTCTCTCTCACTCTCTCTCTCTCTCACTCACTCTCTCTCTCTCAAGGCAGGATGGGAGTCAAGCCTGGCATCTGTCCAAGGAAGAGCTGAGCACTTGAGTAGTTTAATACAGCTAATAAATTGCCCATATCCTCCCACTCCTGGCAATTCAAAAAAAAGTAATTTTGCTTTTTCCACACAACATTAATTCCCAAAAGAACAACAGAAAAAAAGCTCCTGAGTCTCTCTTTAGGTACACTGGAAATAAAATGTATATAACGTTGAAAACAAAAATTGTTCCAGCTGTGACAACCCCTTTCACCAACACCATTTAAGTGAGTAAAGCACTCCCAGTTTAGACCCCACCCCTCCTTTTTACGTGATACAGGTGCACGTGAACTTCCCTGCCTGTCTGTGTCCTTTGTGTCACACAGATTCACATCAGGATCTGTTCTCTTGCCTTCGCACCTCAAATCCCCTGTGCAGTCAGGAGGCAGGTGCTTAGGATATCCTCTGGATCAGTTTTTCATCTGATAGGCAGTAGAGTGTGTTGACTGACAGCTCAGAAATGAAGTCCTCGCAGCCCTTGCGGGTGACACCTTTGCAGCTTCGCAGGTCGAGCAGTGAGATGCAAGAGAGGCGCCGGAGATACTTTAGACATGTGTCTGTCAGTTTACTGCAGCCTGGGAAACAAACAGGTACACAGACACGTCAATACTGGTGAAATGAAGTTAATGCAACGTGTGTGTGCATGGTCTTTGTGCCTCAACCAAAAGGTATTCCCATCAATCTCTCACCTGTCAGGTTGAGTTCTGTAAGTGTGTTTCGGGTGGACGAGCCCACTGCAGTCAGCAGGTTGATGGAGTGGTCGGTGAGACTGTTGCAGTGGGAGAGGTCCAGTTTTGTTAAATGGGGCATGTGGCGGATCACTAGGCGCAGAGTGGAGTCACTGATGTCCAGGCCTGCTAGTCGCAAACACTGCATGGTCCGCAACTGACTGCGATTGTCACAGCCTGGAACAGAGGGGTGTTGTTTGGGAGGAAGAGGAAAAGGGCAGAAAAGAGTTTGATGAAGAAGGGCAAGGGATATACAGTAGGGAAAAATAACTAGACATAAGAGTTCATTACTGGATACATTAACAACTGATGAACCATTTCTAGCAATCAATCTGTAGCCTCTCAGGCTACTCATTCCTCACCTGGAGGGGTGACTAGATCCCTGATTTGAGAGTCTTTGACCCCATCTGCATACCGCAAGTCCAGAGAACGGAGGAGGGGGCAACTAGAAGAGCAGAGAGCTGAAATAGATGACCAGGAACAACCTGCCAGCATCAGATCCTTCAGCCCTACAAAATCAAGACAAGATTTGTGTTTAATGTAGAAAACACAAACATGACTAATTCAGAATTCATTTGAAAACCCTGGGACTCATATCTCATATCTAACTCATAACTCATATAAAACTTAAATCTGTAAATAATTCTCTACTTTGATTTAACTGTATTTAATTATACGATTCTTTTGTTTTATATTGCTGTATTTATTTCCATATATAACATTGACCATATCGTAAAGAAAGAGTGTGTGTGTGTGTGTGTGTGTGTGTGTGTGTGTGTGTGTGTGTGTGTGTGTGTGTTTACGTACCAGGCAGGCGGCCAACAAGCCAGTTCAGCTGCTTTTTAGAGATGTTGGTCCAAGAGAGGTCAAGTGTGACCGGTTGTCTCTTTATGATGCCTGTTAGGGCCTGAGGAGTAACAGTGCGTTTGATGCTAAGGTCGATCCGTGACCAAAGCCGCTTGTCTAAACACCTACAAACAAGCACACACTCGTGAAAACTCACATCCATTCATCTAGTTATCCATTTGTGAGTGTTATGACACACTGACACTACTTTATGTGGATAAATGCTGCTCAGTTGGCAATAAAAAGATACAAAACTGGGGTCTGATAGCCTTTTATCACATGTATTATGAAATCCAAATGATTCTGAATCCCTTCTTGAATCTCATTAGTTTTACATTTCAACATTTGCAACAAACTAAAGATGAAAATAACTACAACTAAAAGATGTCATAACCTTTTGTTAATGGAGAAGGCTCAAAAACTAGTTTGTATCGACAACCTGAAAATGAGACAAGCAGCATAATACATGAATATGCTGATTATATGTATCTGAAACATTCAACATCTCTTCAAACAAGGCCCCATAAAAACTGTTAAACTGATAAAATTAAAATGTTGATATGATAAAAACCTAAATCTAATTTGGGAGATTCTTAAATTAAGGTGACCAGCTAGATCATTATTCCTGAGAAGACTCGCCATTCTGTTTGTGTGTTTAACCACACAAACACACAGTCCACTCATGTACTGTGGTGTTAGACAGATGTGTCTTTCCACTCACATTTTTTTTGGCAGAATACAGACAACAGCTGCAGAAAGCCCATTACCAGAGAACAGTCAAACTTTTCTAGTTAGACGTTATGCATTTATTAGTATTAGCTACAGCTGATCTGAGTGAGAGTGAGGAAAGATGAAAAGGTTTGATAGGATCTTTGTTCCCTAATAACAATCGATCAGCTAAGAGGTCTTACCATTTGTACCAGTTCTTGCAGACAGCCATGCAGACGCAGAGATCTGCTCGACTTAAGTAGCGAAAGACGGACACCCACACCTCCCTCTCACAGCCCGGCCCGCTTCCTCCATTCTCCCTGTCTGCCTCGCTCCCTCCTTCCTGCAGGGCGGACAGAGGGATGCGGAGATGAGCAAGCTCAGAGGTTGAAGAACAAGAGGCGCCATTGCTCAGTTTAGCCGACCTGCTCGGCTTTGTTCTTTTAGAGGCCTCTGGCCTCTCTGGGTGGGAGGTACGAGTGTCTGTGTGTCCACTGCGAGTGTGTGGTGGTGTGTGTCTATTGGAGTGTTGATCAGGACAGGGTCCGCGATTTCTAATGGGGGGTCTGACGAGGGCTCTGGTCTGGTTGTGTATTGCTGAAGTGGCGGTTTGAGGGGCAACAGCCTCTAATTTGGGGACAATTGCTGATGGGTCCCGCTTGGCTCTGGTTGGTTTTTGGAGTGTCACTTTAAGATATGAGCCATCTTTAACCCCCATTTGACTGTCCTGCTCCATTTCCTCCACGTCATCCTCCTCTGCACCGTTTTGGTTGGCCACCTCACTACCTTCCTCTTCTCTTTCTTTGGCTGCGCGTCCTCCTCGTCTCGACTGCGGCTGGTTCTCTTTATCCAATCCCCTCCCACTGTTCTGCCCTCTCTCCTCTTCCTCGTCGCTGCTGCTGCTGTTCGTGCTGCTGCTGCTGCTGCTGTCCTCAGTGTCCTCATCCTCCTCCTCGTCCTCCTCCTCCAACTCTCCATGGCTTCTACCACTTCTGATTCCTCTTCCTGCTCCTCCTCCCCGCAGCCTCACCCCTCTCCCCCTCCCTCTGCGGGGCTCTCCCTTGGACTCAAGTACCAGACTGAGGGAAGACTGCTGTTGCTGGAAGGACCCCGTCTCTCCTGGAGCGCTGTGGTAAGAGGAGCCACTCGCCCAGGTGGAGCTTCGGCCTCTGCCCTGAGATATTCTGCTGGTGGGAGAGCGCAGCCGGGACAGCACCCTGGAGCTCAGCAGCCTGGGAGAACGATCCAGAGATTGTTTCTGTTGGGAGGTAAAGGGCAAAAAGGATGGCAAATGAGAGCAAAACATAACAATCCAGTGTTACAACATGCTCTCAGCAGTATTGTTTGTAATTAACAATAGCTTCAAATTCACTTAACAAGGTTTTTCAAAAATCATCATTTCCCAACTGACTGCCTCAACTACACTAATGTTTAATAACTGGATTTTAGAAAAATATATAATCGTCGCTGAAATGCATC